AATTGATAGAGGCATTCGCAGTGATGTTTAGTGTGGAGAAAGTGAAAGGAAAGACAATTTCTCTTTCTGTCTTAATACCAATACCACCCCTGAAGCTATAGAATTCATTACAAGAAGTAGTGATGACCACCATTTTGAATGATTTTGAAAGGGAACTGGACATATTCATGGAGGATAAGGCTATTAATGGCTACTAGTCCTGGTGGCTACATATTCCCTCCAGTATTAGAGGCAATGTGCCTGTGAAAACCCATTGATGCCGACCATGGACTGAAGGGTGCAGTTGCATTGAAGTCTTGCTAGCAAGTTTCCTGTGAACAGCTGGTTGGCCACTGTGTGAACAGAATGCTGGTCTAGATGGATCCTTTCTATGATCCAGCAGGGCTCTTCCTATATTCTTAATATGGAAACTATTTGTATTACAGAGTGGTAAACCGGCATAAGATCATTTTAAAATGGACAGATCTGTGCAGATTACATGGTTATACCACACATGGCATGGGATTATTACCCCGAGAATATTGTTTTTAAGATTTTTAAAGTTTTCCTTTTAATGTTTAGCCTCTACCTAAAGATTAATGTATGTGTTGGAAAGTTCAAGAGCAGTGACTGAGTAGGGTTTATGGTGTTGAAGGGGTTTCTTGCCTTGCTTCCTTGGCCTTGGTCCTGAAAAGCAAAACAGAATAAATTATGCAAATTTATGCAACTTGTGAACATGCCTTGTGTGAAGAGGTAAGATTTTAATTACCCGGATCCCAAATTTTAACATTTTACATATTCTAATATAATATACAGTACTTTATTTTATTTCCTCCCCCATTCTTTACACAGTACACACCAAGGGTCCCCAACTGTTTGGCATTGGCAGGTACATTTGGAAAACTAAGAAAGCTTAACTCTCATGACACTCTGCCTGCCGTGGGGCTTGCCCATTCTTGGGAATACTGCCATGTTGGTATGGCTAATCACAGACCATTCCTTTCCCCAGAAGACAAACTGGTAAGACTAAAAGCAAAGTCATCTGCCCAAGGACATAGGTACAAGACAGAGTTCCCAAATACAAAACCACTCTTTTAAACCCAAATAAAGATGGTGCTGCAGGAGAGCACTTTGCCAGGCTCCCAGTTTAAAATAAAACTGTAATTTAGAGAAAGAAAGGAAAATGAAAATCAGGAGTAGCTGGAGGGATGGAAGGCTTCGCGGGCACCAAGAACTCCCAGGAATGCTGCAGAACTCCCAGGTATCTACAGTGCTGTAGTAGAGGAAGTGGAGTCTTCACTATATTGCACAGAAAAGAATTTCTCACAGCTGTGGCCCTCTTCATATAAGCATGAGGGACTATGTAGACCTTGTCTGTTCCAGCAATGTTCAGAGTGAGGAGTAGTCAGGAACCAATTACAGTACACAGATGAGTGCCTGAACTGTGAAGAGTTCCTGATTGTACCCTCCTGTAAAATTAAAATGTAACAGTGGACCACGAGGATCTTGGTAAAAGAAAATAGAGCATACCAGAGTTCTGTGACCTTGCATTTACATACATAGCTTTGATTTGGAAGCAGTCTGGTTCCTTCTGCTCCTTGTTCTTAGTAAATTATTTCTTGTTTTTATTTGGTACCTTTGAAATACAGTACAGATACATATAGCTTTATCCCTAAAATGTACAGCATTTTCTTTTCTCACATGTTGCCCTGGTCAGTTTTGCTGTACAAATTAGGTTAGATTGGGTACCTCACTGGCTGATAGTCTAGTGCTATGTATCTGAGAGGATCTGTCTGGAACAGATGAAACATAAACTGCAAATCTATCTTGATGCTTTGCATTTTCTGCAATCTGCCACTTTCAGAACTAGGGAACGTCAAAAAGACAGACCTTGGAATAATAAGTGATTCCTGCAAAATCACAGCTCATTTCTGTGCAGGACATTTAAAGTTTAACTGCATTGAAATACTGCCTTCTCGGATCACTGCTCACAAAATAAACTTATGAGCTAGATGGAGAAACCTTGGGCCTGCCTCCAGCCTGCAGGCTGAAGCTTCTGCACCTCTGATCTACAACATACATCCAGAATCCCCAGCAGCTTACAGGGCTGTCATATCAGACATATGGTCATGTTGCAGAAAATGAGTCAATGCAAAAGGGTTTCCTGAAAGTATAAATGCTGTGAAAACCACTGTACACAGAGAATTCAACCCAAGTATCAAGCATTTAGGATATAACACAGGGCAAGTTCACCCAACACACTAAGCCACCCTTAGAATAAGCCACAGTGAGCTGTTTCATAAACAACCTACAGTGTGCCCAACATGCAGTTGGGCTTGCTGTAGGTTTTCCTCCCCCTCCTTGCCCCTCTGTCCTGCAACTGATATCTGTTGGAGAAATGCCAGCTCACACCAGGACTGAGATAGAAACGGAAGATGTCTTTATTAAAAGCAAGGAAAGATGGGCGTGATCTCGGCCATCTCCACGCCCCCCCCCCCATTCCCAGCACGATTGCAGCCCTCTCCTCATTCGGGGGGGCGGGGGTGGGGGAGATGGCCAGGATCATGGTTGCCACCCAATGCGGAGTTCGTGAGCTGATTCAAAATTTTTATGAAACTTTTGTTCGCGACCCGATTTGTTTGTGAATTGAGGCCTTTGTGAGCCGAGGTACCACTGTACAGAATACAGTTAAGGAGGCAAATACCAGCAATACCATGGAAGTTGTATGAAAAATTACATCACTTAGACAGACCAAGCCTGCACCCTAAATTTCAAGCTGCACCACGACCCTATCACTGCTTCTTCATCCCTAGCAACTATATTCCTTTCCTCATTCAGCCACATGCAAGTTCCTTTTTTTTTTTTTTTTTGGAAATATTCTTTTTGTAGGAAAGTTTACTTAAAAAGGCTTTGTTTGCCTCAAAAAAGCTTTACCTTTTTTTCTTCATCATATCCCGGTGTCTTTTGTGGCAGTACTTGTCTTATCTCCCCCTTCCAGCTCTCATTGTTATCCCTTTTCATTCGCTATCATTTTTTTCACAGCCTCAGGAATACACAATGACACCAAATGCATTTTAATATGCCCCAGAAATATGCACCAATGGCCTCATTATTCTTAAAAAGTAAGCCTTTTGGAGGTATGCAAGTGAGCACTTGTGGTTTATGTGGTTTTAATAAATGGAAGGGGATTATAGCAAAAATTTCCTCTCCATTTACTTCCCAGTTTGCCAAAGTTTCAGATTTTTTCACCCACTGGTTAATATATGCAGATTTCATGGCTCAGAAATGAATCAAGGGGAAGCTTGTGTTATATTTCCCCTCCATTTACTTCCCAGCCATGAAATTTGCATATAGTCCCCAGGCAAAAGTTTGTTAAAAAAATAATCTTCGAGTTGACAGAAGGGACAGAGGAAATGGGAGGACGGCACTGACAGGACTTGCTGTCTCTTTGTCCCAAGATGGCCCATTTACTCCATCCCATTCAGTTGCCTTCTCGGTGTTTTGTTTCTTTGTTTTTTGTTGTTATTGGTTTTTCTGAACTCCAAAATAGTTTAAAAGGCAAACAGGAGACACCATTTTAGGCCCTTTTAACTAGAACAAAAGAAGATTTAGGAACCAAAATTGTGCATTTTTAGAAGAGTAGCCACGTTGGTCTGAAACAGCAAGAAGAGGGGGAAAATGTGGCACCTTTGAGATGCATTGGTTATCTTTAATAGGCAACGGTATGTGAAGGTGCAAATATGCTGAAGAAAACAGGAGGTCACTTAAATCATCACAAACCAAGTATATATTAAATTCCAATGAAATAAATGGAACAAAAACACTTACCTAGGTGTCTTTCTTGGTTACTGATCAATTACACACTGTACCTGGAAATCGTAGGAACTGTGAGAGACTTACTTACCTGCTTTGTCTACTATAGGCTTCTCTAACTTGAAGTTGTTTTAGACTGTGACTCCCAGCATTCACAGCCAGCATGGCCAGTGGTCAGGTCAGGGATGGTGGCAGTTGCAATCCAAAGCGTCTGAGAGGCACCAGTTTGGGGAAGACTGGACTGGTCCATGTGCACTATTCAGCAGAGTAAAATTAACTGTGTATCTGGCAAGTCATTTTGTGAAGTGGTGATTTATTTATTTATTCAACTTATATTCCACTATACTAGTCCAAAGACTCTCTAAGTGGATTACAATATTACATAAAAGCAAATAGCAACATTACATCAAATAACAGCAATAAAAACAAAATGCAATAAAAATACACAGCTGAGGTCAGATATCAATAAGTTAGAATATATGAAAGCTAAAAGCAGTATAAATAACATCCAAGTATAAAATCATTTGTTAAAATATCTGGAGAAGAGGACGGTTTGACCTGGCGCCAAAAAGATCGTAAAGATGGCCCCAGGCAAACTGCTTTCAGAAGACCATTCCATAAATGAGGCACAGCCACTGAGAAAGCCCCTCTTCTATTTGCCATCCTCTTTACCTCCTTAAAGGATGGCTCTCTCAGAAGGGCCTCCTCACCATATCTTAGGAACTGGGTAGGTATATATGGGAGCAGATGGTCTTTCAGGTATCCTGGTCCCAAGCTATTTAGGGCTTTATATGTTAGTGCAAGCACCTTAAATTGGACCCAGAGCTCAACTAGTAGCAATGTAACCAATAATGTACTGGGGTCATATGGGCGTGTGAACTTGCTTGTACCAAACATAGGATGATGAATGGTTGTTCCCTTGCTCTACTTTCTATGGGCCAGCTTTGTAATGTACTCTCCATACTGAGCAATTTTTATGCAATTTGCACAATGTGTGGCATTTGGCTGCTCTGGGGTATATGGAAATCAAGGAGTGTGCATTAAATCCTGGTGACTCCCTAGCATTAGAAGATTTTGTTTCCTGAAGTCTTTTTTGAAGGGGAAAAAGTGGTAGACTGGTAGAATGATCATCACTGCCTGGTCTGGGAGAAACAGGAGATGTTTTGTTCACATCTTGGGTTAATGCGCAGCCTGCTTCTTTTCCTCAGATAAAGCCACCAACCCCCTGAATAGACAAGAGGACTGGGAGTATATAATTGGCTTCTGTGATCAGATCAACAAAGAACTGGAAGGGTAGGTGTCCCAAACCATTCAAGTTTGCCTCAGGTTTATTGAAGAAGTGATTTTTATATAATCATTGTATTTTGATGCTTCAATTAATGTGATAGTTCAAAATACAGGTATTTGATATGTATTACTTGTTTTTTTGATAGCTCTTATGTAGTTTATGCTCTTCTCAAACACAAAAGCACTGCAAAGAAGTTCCGAATATAAAACAACAAATATGACAAGAGCTACATCCAGGGCTAAGATTCAGTAAGGAGTATCTTATGAACTTTATTACAGCTTTCCCTCACCTGGTGCTCTCCAGATGTGTTGCTCCCACCACAGTCCCCTAATGGGCTCTGCTAGCTGGGAGGTGCTGGGTGTTGTAGTTCAACACATCTTGAAGGTACCAAGGGAAGTCTGCCTTATGGGTTGGATCCCAGATGATTGATCTGCCAACAGAAAGATGGCACTGGTGGAACAGGACTTCTCTGTCCTCCCCCCCCCCCACATAAAAGTCATCTTGCGTCCTCCACATCTGTTCCCAGGCATTCCCTTACCCTCCAGAGCAGATTTAGAAGCAAGTAGGAGGCCACATGGAGGAAGAGAGGGTGGAAAAGTCCTGTGCCACCAGCCGAAGAAGGGTTGTGGATTCAACTGCAAATCATTTTCTGATTCTAATTCTGACAGTTTTCAGAATATGAAAGAACATCAGTTAACTTTTTAATGTTTCCATTCTCAAAATGAATGTCATTGCAGTGATTATTTTAAAATGCCCTTTGTATTTTTAATGCTGATTGTATTTAATTCTGCTTGTATTTTATGTGTTGTTGTAAACCACCCAGGGAGCTTTGGCTGTTGGGTGGTATAGAAATTAAATTGAATAAATAAAAAAATAAAAAATCATGCAGGGCTTTTATGTTTCAAAAACAATTTGCAGACTTTACTAACAGTCATGGATCATAACATCTTGTGTAAGGGAGAAGTATTATTTTTCCCATGTTGAGAACGTGAAGGGCCAGAAACCAGCAGTTTGCCATGGATTATGCAGTTTGGATTTTCAGTACCACAAGGAAGGGACTTACCGTTCTCTGCATGATATATTTGAACAGTGCTAACAACTGAACAGTTAATTCTGGTAATGGATTTTGAAGCTATAGAAGTGCCATTTGTTATTTCTTTTTATGGCATCCTTTTATGTACCTCATCTTTATTTTGCAAAACCTAACAGAGAGAGGATTGCTTAGTTGACACTTTAATCACATAATAGGCTGCTTTAGGATAGATGCCCATTGTAACCCCTTTTGACTTTCAGGATTTGTTTGTTTTCAGAGTAATTTTTCAGGTTTTATGTTTGCAGAAAAAACCCCATCACGTGAAAGTACTATGTGTGCATTGGGAGTTGGGAAAGTCAAGCCTTTGCCATTATCCTTTAGTTCCTTTGACCTCAGGACTATTTAAATTTCATATTTTCCCCCTGTTTACAGGGCCTCCTTTTCCCTACTTCATAAGTGTTTTGGGGGCAAAGACAGTGATGTCCTCTCATTCTCTATAACTTATTGTTGTAAGCTGCCCCGAGGCTCTATAACTTATTGTTGTAAGCCGCCCCGAGGCTTCGGCAAATGGGGCGGCATAAAAATGTTTTAATAAATAATAAATAAATATAAAGTGTCACATATATAGGCAGCATTCCCCAAATACATATTTAAATAAATAATTTTATTTCAGTCCACAGATAGCAGTGAGATTGCTGGCACATAAAATCCAGTCCCCACAGGAATGGGAGGCCGTCCAGGCTCTGACGGTAGGTGTTTGCAATCACCTGGTTGCATGATAGGGTGAAGAGTTATTTAGTGAATAGTTTCCACTTTGGGAGGCTGCTGGGCCAGTGGACCACTCTAGTGGCAACATTTGGACTAGGCAGTCTTTTAGTTCCTTCCAGCTCCTTGCAGAACACAGATTGAGAGCAGGTGGATCCACAGTGGCCAAGGGTCTTGAGCTCCTTTTCTAACAAATGGTACTGCAGGGTGTCATTCTTTCCCTGCAAATGAAAGTAGCATTTGGTGATACACTATTTTCTATATCTACACATTTCTATATCAATTAGTCTTGAATGTGACATTCTGATGCTGTCACACTTTGCGGGGAGTAAGCAGCGTTGAATATAGTGGACTTAGGTCTGAATTAACATGCATAGAATCAGGCTGTGCATTCATCTTAACATTTAATTTAAAAATAAGTTTCTCAAGTTCATCATTGTGAAGTAAAGCATGGCAACCTGTGGCATATGCTGAAGGTCAAGGACACACTTTTCTGGGAGAATCTCTGCCTAAAAGAACATCCTATTAATTGCAATGTTTCATGCCCCCTTCGTTCTTACTCTTCTGATTCTTTTCCTTCACTTCACCTTGTGTCTTCCTTTCTCTCTTTCATGTCCTATCATTCTGGTACTTACTAAATATTCCTAAAGCACCAGCAACTTAAAACAGGATAAGTTATGCATTTTGTAACTCAAATCCTTCGGCCACCTAATGAGAAGGAAGGACTCACTGGAGAAGAAACTAATGATGGGAACAATAGATGGCAAAAGAAGAAGGGGACGGCAGAGGACGAGGTGGCTGGATGGAGTCACTGAGGCAGTTGGTGTGAGCTTAAGTGGACTCCGGGGGATGGTGGAGGACAGGCAGGCCTGGAGGAATGTTGTCCATGGGGTCGTGATGGGTCGGGCACGACTTTGCAAATAAGATAACATAACATAATGATATAACGTGTTCAGAGTTTTTTCCTTTAAATGTTGGTAAGTTTCAGAAGAGCAAGGGCTTATAAAAGGGGGGATAAGTGAGCAAGGTGATTGGCTGGTGTGTGAGGAGAAGAGAAATGAATATAGTAGATAGTCAGCCGTTGACAGTCAGAGCTGTGGTCAGCCAGACCGAGGCAGCCTTCTCATTAGAATCCCAGACAGTGCAGTGGAAAGCATTTAAGATTCTGAAGAAGGAAGTATTATACTTGGGGGACATATTAGTGACCAGGGAGAGTCAGAACTTAATATTGTCATGTATTATAAAGGTATGAGAAACAGAAGCTGGCAGAAACCTGAGTGCAAAAGGGAAAGATTGAGCTGAGATAAATAGACTTAAGAATGGTCAAAAACATTCAGAAGAGAAAGGAGAATTTGACAGCGAGGAGTGATTGTTAAGGGAGAGTGAGATCACCTCAGTCAGAAATAATTAGCACGCACTGTTTTATTCACTAAGGAACATCTTGAAACCAATACACTTGTTGTACAAATAAGGTTTTATTTATTGTTAACCCAGAGTCATAAACCATTTGTATACCAGTGTCTCATCCTGAGGACCACATAGTAAAATGAAGGAGCCCTACTGCTTGGGCACAATATTGAGGGAGAGATAGATTAATAAGACTGGAATTAATTTCCTGGTGGCAGTGTTACATACTGAGAGAAAGAGAGGGAAATTTCAGGAAGCTAAAGACACACCATATCCAAACAAATTGTAGGACAGTACTCGTGACACACTTTTGGGGTGGGGGTGCAGAATTTGAGAGGACAGTAGACAGTTCTTGGTGATGTAAAATATCTGTGGGTTGGGGTATATGCATTAAACTGGTCCAGTTATGGAGAAATGGCTCCACACCTTCATTTTGGACGTCACGCAGAATGATAATATCCTTTCTTGCTAATTTGTTTGCAGAATTTTTTCCCAGTGGAATGAGTCTCTCCATACCTTTCCTGTTGTCCAGTATTTCATGGCTTGAGGGACCACATTATTCATTGTGTGTGGCCCTCATGGATAGCATAGCGTGTTGTGCAAACAGTATCACATATTCAAAGGGATAAGAATGGTGGCTGTGCCAGCTGGCTTTGCCTCTTTGGAATGCAAGACATTCATATACTGAGCACCGAGTTTTGCATGGGGGGCTGTGTAATTTGATCCCAAGCATGCAGGGGATCAAATTGCACAGAGGATGGAGAGTCCAGCACTAGGGTGCCTGTGTGCTTTGGGGTCTACACAGGTGGTCTCCCAGGCAGATGTGATGTCCAATGGCAGGGTCCTACTGGCACAATCTTTATTCTTTTTCCCTCCCTGTGTACAGTGCCATCTGCACGGGCACAGCATCTTTGTGAAAATGCCATTGAGCTCTCATGAAATGAAATTAAGATAAATCCACAGGTTTAGAAAATCAGGCAGATACATCTAGACACTCGGAGTGGTTTCTAGGAAGCTTTACCTGACCCACATTAAGCCCTGATGGTTCAGGTTGCATTTGAAAGTTTCCCCTGTAACCCCTGTGCCTTATATGATACAGGTTGGGGATTCATCTTATGCTTGTCTGTTCTTTGTTTGTTTGATTGCAGGTGCTGGAAGCTTGTATGAAGAACTGTGGGCGACGCTTTCATAACGAAGTAGGAAAGTTTCGTTTTTTAAATGAGCTAATTAAAGTTGTGTCTCCCAAGGTTAGTATGAAGGTTGTTTTTCCAGAGATATGTTTGTATGTCTATCTTGCCAAAATTCATAAAACATGATGTGGATCATGCAGATTCTTCTGGTATAAGAGAGAGTATAAATAAAAGTTCCACAGATTTAAAAAGTTCCTGCATGTACCTGGACCATTATTGGAATAGTTGGAGGACAGTGTCTTAACATGTCAGATAGATAAGATTGCTGTATAAAGAGTTATTCCAGGAAGATAAACTGGATCAGATTAATAAGGAATGTTAGGCTGAAAAGCTATGACCTGTATACTCTGACCTGGGAGAAAATCCCATTGAATAAAACAGACTGGTGTGCATGATTGCAGTGCAGTTGCCACAGTAATTACACTCACAGCAAAAGCTTCTGTCTAGTTCAGCCACGCCTTTCAGCATTCACTGTCAAAAGAAGCACAAACTGAAGGCGGACTTCAGCATTGATCATTTCTAAATGTTATGAGAGGGGAAATTTGACGAGTGGTATTCTATTTGTGGAGAAGGCATATTGATATGCTTGAGCATGGTACCAGTTGCTGTCATACTGGTACAACGTGCGAGTGCAAACTGGTCCTGCAAACGTGTCCACTTCTGTAGGATTAAAAGAAAAAAAATGATCCCATTTATGCAAACTTGAATGCGTAGGGGAAAAATCAGTTTGATTCCTTTGCACAAATTTGAAAAGCAAAGAAAATGTGATTACCAACATTAAAATGGCTCAGGAAATAGGTAGAGTTTGGAGGGGGAAGGCTGTCTATAGGGAATAGGAGACTGAGATTTTGTGCCTTGCAACAGGGACATTTGACAATTTGCAGCACTCTGTAGCAATTTGTGATTTGAAAGGGTCAGGGTTATCAAGAGCAGATGGAAGGACTGTGGGAAAGAAACCATGCCACAACACCACACACCCAGTTATCTGTCAGAAGTGTTATGGGTTACTTATCTAATGGTTCAAAGTAGGTTATTTTATCTGAGGGCAGAGAAACCTAAACCTTTGCTCTGCTTGGTTATTCTTGCAGTACCTGGGAGACAGAGTGTCGGAGAAGGTCAAAACCAAAATAATTGAGCTGCTCTACAGCTGGACAGTGGCCTTGCCAGATGAGTCCAAAATCAAAGATGCCTACTACATGTTGAAAAGACAAGGTGGAGAATAGTTTCTTCTACAGCCTTTCATTCTCTTTCCTTGTTAGATGGGACTTGGTAATATTAGGGTATCAGATATAGTAGTTTCCTCTCACCTAGGCAGCGGACTGCTTCAGCCAGGAGGCAGCAGAATCTTAGGTTTCATGTGGAGTGTTCTATATTGTGGCTCTATAGTGCTGGCTGCGCCTTTTCACTACCATTGATTGGCAATCCATTCACTAGCTGCTAATTTCATCTTTGCTACGCAGTCATAATGCGTGTTTTGTGCAGTTAGGACATATGATAACCGGAAGTTTCAGGCAAGTAACAGAATCCAAGCTTGCAGACTCAGGAGATCCCTGGTCTTTTAAGAACTAAAATCTAGACTCTAGAACTAAGCAGAAGCATGTCTGAAGGCATGAACATCCCATACGGAGTTAATCTGCAGAGAGAAAACCCATCATAAAATTTTTGAAGGTGAGCTGGGTGCTACCATTCAGAATCAAGATTTAAAACAACACTTCTTTTTCTGGTACTTCGACAACACACCAGCATCATAAGAATACCTTAAGCTAGTAGCAGACCCTTGTTCAGGATTTAGGTGCCTTAATATGATAGAGCTTGCTACTTTTGTTCAGGCAATTTGTAGTGAACAAGAAAATCCTGAGTGTTCCCCCCCTCACCTTTCTGTTTTCAGGCATTGTTCTCTCTGACCCTGTAATTCCTGTGGAGAGGACCCTGATCCCCTCTCCTCCACCTCGTCCCAAAAACCCTGTGTTTGATGATGAGGAGAAATCCAAGGTAAAGTGAAAGAATGAATATACTAATAAGCAACAGCCATGTTATCTTGTGATGCTTTTAGGGAGATGCTAAGTATAAAACTAGACCCTACATCCTCCCCCCGCCCTTCGTAATGTACAATCTACTTTAAAAGAAAAGGAAAAAAGTAAAGGCCTGACCTCTTGAGTAGTTCTTACTTCACCTATGAAAGTTTTGGAAACTTTCAAAGATGCTTTTGTAGTTTATGCAATGTCTTATTGCCCTTGCCATTTCTTGTTCCAAGGGCAGAGGAAGCTGAGGGTTGTATTTTCTAATTGTAAACTAGAATGCCAGTAAAAGTCCCACAGTTTAGCAAACCACTAGTTTTATTTTCATGTCTCTTTACTCTATGCTGAAAGCAGAACTAAAGTGAGGATTGGGGACCTTGATTTGTGATTGTTTTATATTCTAAAAAAAAATGAAGAGATAAAGGCTTGGAAAACCCTGCATGCTTTTACTGAGGGTGATCCTTGTGGGGAAAGATGGATTAGAGGACTAAGACTTTTGTGAATAATGGTCGGAAAAAATAGCACTTTTCCTAAGTACTGAATTCTTCACTTTTCTTATCTCAATCCTTATCTCCTTATAGCAAACAAATCAGTATTATTTGCAAACGACTCACAGAGAGAGAGACAGACAGACAGACAGAGACAGAGAGAGCGTGATAGGCATACGCCACCAGTGTGAATTCAGAGCTGAATGAAATTTGAGTTAAGGACTCCAATTTGTGGCTTACTCTTTTTAACATGATGCCAATTTCAGCTCTTTCATGCATGGAAATACTGTTGATATGTACTGTTGCTCTCTTGAGAGAATCTGAGTTGCAGGTGGGAATCAAATGGATATCTGAGACCTGAAATTAGTTGTTCAAAGTTCACTTTATATCCTGCTCTCTCTCTCTTTTGATGATGAAACCCGGCCTTAGTGGTAGTGCCTATAAATTAAGACTTCCATATCTTAAACTGGAGGTCCAGCAGGGGTTGTGCCAACCCCAGCACTGACTCTGGGTAGTGGGTAATTATGCATAGTTAGTTTCCACTGTCATAGTACTGACACCACTATCCTACACAAACTTATAGTAAATACATTCCAACAGCATGTCTGCTTCTTGCTTCTGTGTAATGTATTTGCTTGTTTGTTTGTTCATTTGTTTGTCTATATCCTGCCTTGCTACCATAAATGGTGCTTAAGTGATCAGAATGCCCAAAGTCTACATTTGGATGCCTTAAAGACAAAATAAGGTAACAATTCCTCATAGTGCAACTCTGAAAAATCAGGAACAGTTTAACCTAAGCGCTTTAACATACTTTTTTTCCTTTTTGCAGCTTTTAGCTAAATTATTAAAAAGCAAAAATCCAGATGATTTGCAAGAGGCAAACAAGCTGATTAAATCTATGGTGAAAGAGGTGAGATCTAGTACTTACTAATTCATCTATAGATGTGAAGATGGCATGAGGCTTGTTTGTACTTTCAGGCATTTTAGAGCACAGTCTGAGGCCTGCTAGATTCTATCTAGATGGCTGTGGGAAAAGTCACGTTTCCAGCTCTGACCTCAGAAAATGCTTTGAGGTTGAAGCCGAGATTCTGTCATCAGAATGACTCCCTCTACTCTTGCAGCTAGAGTTCTTTCCATGCTGTCTGACTTTGACTTTGAAACCAGCCCTGGGAGGAGGCATTTTGCAAGAAGGGATGAGTGAGTCATGTTGTGCAGAATCCTGATGATGTCTCAGCCTCCTTTCCTGACCAACCAGGGGAGAACATGTAGATGGCTGAAATCAGCTGTCTAGGTGTTTGGAGGGAGCAGAAAGCATCTGGGAATCCTTAGGTCTGTGCTCTCCCCACCCTCCATGTGACTTTGGGCAGTCACATGGATTGTGCCTCCTAGAAATCTTTGGACCGTATCACTGGGCTGCATGATCCCAGAAAGCCTGAGAATTTTTGGTCTCTGTAAGCAAGGCTCTGGTTTCCTTCATCAGCAAAGTTCTTATCTCAGTTTGAAGCTGTGACTAGTAGTGGGTAGTAAGTTAAGACATACCAGTCAGTAAACTATAGCTCCACTCTGTCTGCTAATGCTGGATTTAATCAAGGCTCTTGACTCGGATAACATCTGTTATCTTTGGTTTATCTGCTCATTCTCCTGCTTGCCTTATGAAGAGGCATGTATGCACTGAATGCATTGAAAGCAATGGGCTTAGATCATTCTAACTCTACCTATAATGGGCTTGGGGTGTAAATTGTAAGGAAGAAAGTTCCTTATTTCTCAAGTTGCATCTTGGAACTTGGATCTCAATTCTTTTGGTTCTGAAACCAGAAGTAGATAAAGTGCATTAACAGGCTTGGGGAGAAAAAGCTCTTAAACTATGTCACGTGATCTCTAGAGAGCCAAGTAAGATAGAAACATAGAAACAGAGCAAGTCAGAAGGGGTCTCCTGGGCCATCTAGTCTGACCCCCAGCTCCAGCCAGCTCCACTCATGACATGCCCACCATGTGCATGCCCAGCCTGTCCTTGAACATCCCTCACCAATGAGGTTTCCACCACTTCCCATGGAAACCCAGGATGGAAGGTGACCATCTTGTGCAAACATCCAAAAATTCCTCTGACCTTAGTGGGTACTGCTTTTGTATACTGATCTTTACCTATTTTTCCTAATACATTTCCAAAGGCAAAATAGTGCTTTTCTGATAATAGATTGTACAGTCTGCACACATTGCTGCTAAATATGTAGGTTTCTGCACTTTTCACTAGTCAGGCCTGGTTTGTGATGAAATAAAGAAGAGAAGACTTATTTTACCTTTCTCTTTCAAACTTGCAGGATGAGGCACGGATACAAAAAGTAACAAAGCGCCTGCATACCCTGGAAGAGGTAAACAACAATGTGAAATTGTTGAATGAGATGTTGGTTCACTACAGCAAAGAAGATTCTTCAGATGCTGATAAAGAGCTCATGAAGGTGAGTGTCAGTTTCATCCTTGGGAAATGTTTAGTTCCTGACAACATGTGGCTCTGTTGACTTCCATCATCTAAAGGCAGGGAATTTCACATCCTAGCTTCCTGTGCAAGAGCAGCCACCAGCATCATGCGGGACACACAGGAGGAGATGGTAATCTCTCCACTGGAATAATTTCATGGAGGTTTGTAGATGAGCCAGGCAAGGCATTCCTAAGAAGGCTGCCCTTGTCTGCTTTGGCTTACTGAGTGCTTTCTCTCACATGTTCACCCAGGAGCTTTATGAGAGATGTGAAACGAAGAGGAGGACACTGTTCAAGCTGGCCAGCGAGACGGAGGATAATGACAGCACTTTGGGTAAGCAGGAACCTTTTCTTGACATGGCAGGAGCTGACTGTAGCTGTGTGAGTTGTAACTGATTATGCTCCACCTGCACAGGAAGAATGGCTTTTGATAGCAGAAGTGCAGAGCCCATGTTGTTGTTACATGCCATCAAGTCATCTCCAGCTCATGACACCCCTATGAATGAATGTCCTCCAAAATGTTCTTTTATAGCCCTGCTAGAACGATTAAAGCCAATGGTGTGGATCCAATAGCTTGGATGTAGTAGCTTTGTCACACCACCAGAAAGATACGGCTGGCCAAACTGGGCTTCCATACCCCCTCTTCCCTATTGCATCCTGTCTGTGTGCCTGCTCAGTTTCCTCTGGAGATGCTGGATCCAAGCTCATGTTTGCACGGTCCTCTTGCACTTCCATATTTGCCCTTAATCCAGTAAATATGCAGGGTAAAATGCCATTAAATTTAGTGTATGCTCTTGTGTCTCCATCCCCTTTCAAAACAAGGCCTGTGCTCTTAAATGAGCCAAATTCTTCGCAGAGTGTTCGGCCTAAGGATTCAGTGAACAGTGCGTAGGTAAGACTCATGGCCCTACTCTCGTATCTGTTCATTCCTAGCTAGACTCCATGAACATTTTAAATGTTCATGTTAGCTATCTTGACATTGCTTCCTACCACTGACTTTGTCCCTGTTTCCTGTTGACTTGTATCAGTGTGTGCTGTGCAGAGGCAGGCATACAGTATATGCTGAAGTTATTGCACCATGCAATGGCATACCATTCGGGTAGAATGAAGAAAACAAGACCCTGTTAGGAAGTCTGTGTGATAATGCAGTATGGATGAAGGATTTGTTTGGGACAAAAGGTTGTGTGCATGGACAAATAAATCAAAGGAATTGTTTGTTTTATCGTTTTTATCCTGTTTTTCTTTATAAACCCATTTCTAACCCCCTACAAAATTATTAAAGCATGATTTTACATAGTGGATGATAACAAATCTACACTCATTATATTTCCATTCCAGCTTTCTTCCATCATGGCACTGAAGTTGACATGCACAGGGACCTCAGGCACTCTTCCATCCAGGCATGGCCTGTCCCAAGGCTGCTTAGCTTTGGCAAAGTGGCTGCAGAGCATAAAAACTCAGAAGAAGAAATCTGTAATCTCTGTTGCCCAGCCAGTGTGGTCACTTTTCATTCCACCAAAACATGTCATGTTGCTGTGGGTGAAAGTCCTAACTTGTGATAGCAGAAAAGCGTGAGGCAAGAGCTACGTATGGAGGGAGACAGTCGCAGTGCATCCAGGGGTGGGGGGCACGCTCTGAATGGGTAGAATTCTTCATCATGAACATGAATGAGTCAACTAAACGGATTATATCCCCAGACTGCGAAAACATTTCCATGAAGGAAATGATTTACACCAGTGGTATGCCATCTGTTTTTTTTGCAGGAGATATCCTGCAGGCCAGTGACAACTTATCACGGGTAATAAATTCTTACAAAAGAATTATTGAAGGACAAGTCATCAATGGTGAAGTGGATATTTCCGTGCTGCCTACAACAACTGGTGAGTCAAGAACCATCTGTTCCCCTTGCTTTAATTCATCTAAAAATTATACCCATTTATAATGCATAGAGTATTTTATAGTCCTTTGCTCTAAAGTGGCTTTATAGGATTGATCTCACGATCAATCAACAATCGATGGCACATAGCAACAACCCTTAAAAATCAATATTGTAACATCATTTAAAGTCTGTCTACATTAAATATGTAAACATACACATGTATAAACATTCAGACATTCAGCAATAGAATCATGGAATCATAGAAAAGTAGAGTTGGAAGGGGCCATGAAGGCCATTGGGCCCAGTCCCTTGCTGTTGCCAAACACTAATTTACACCGTCCCACTCAGATGACTATCAGTTTCACCTTGAATGTTTCTAGTGTGAGAGAGTGCACAACATCTCTAGGCAACTGGTTCCACTTTTGCATCACTCTGAAAGTGAGGAAACTTTTCCCAATGTCTAGCCTGAATCTGGATTGTCGCAGCTTGAATTGATTATTCCATGTCCTACACTCTGGCATCAGTGAGAAGATATCTTGATTTACTTCTTTGTGACAGCCTTTGATGTGCTTGTAGAGGGATATCATGTCCCCACTCAGTTTTTACTTCTCAACTTGCCCAGTTCTATCAGTCTTTCCTCATAGGGCAGTGTTTCCAATCCCTGGATCATTTTTGTTGCCCTTCTCTGGACCCTTTCTAATTTTTCTGCATCTTTCTTAAATCTTGATGCCCAAAACTGGACACAGTATTCCAGATGAGGTCTGACTAGTGAGGAGTATAGAGGAACTACTACTTCTCATGATTTTGAATTAATACTTCTATTACTACTACTTTTTGCTAATTTGCTTATCAGAATGCCGTGTGGCACTATGTTGAAAGCTTTGCTAAAGTCAAGGCAGATTATGTCCACAGTGTTTCCTATGTCTATTTGGGAGGTATAGACATCCCAATAAATCCCAATAAAATTAAATCCCAATAAAAATGAGATTAAATTAGTCTGACATGATATATTTTTGATAAATCCACGTTGACTTTTATTAATCCCTGCATTTTCTTCGAGGAACTTGCAGACTGATTTTTAAAATAATTTGTTCCAGTATTTTTTCTGGAGATTAATTAACTGGTCTGTAGTTCCCAGGTTCATCTTTTTTCCCCTTTTTGAAGGTGAGGACAATGTTAGCCCTTCTCTGGTCATCTGGCACTTCTCCTGTTTTCCAATATTTATTGAAGATAATAGCCACTGGTTCTGAGAGTTCCTCTGTTAGTTCTTTATGACTCTGGGATAGCGTTCATCAGACCCTGGAGATTTAAATGCATTTATTCCATCTAGGTGTTTGTTGACAATTGGTCTGTCAGTCTTAGGCTGCCATCTCCTACTTTCAGCTTGAACTTCTTGGATGTAGATTTTCATGTGGGAGAAGACTGAGGCAAAGTAGGAATTGAGTTTCCTCTGCCTTTTCCTTGTTGTCTGTTATCACTCCGCCATCCACTTTGAGTATCTGGACACCTTTCTCTTTCACATATCTTTCATTTTGGATGTATCTGAAAAAGGGTTTCTTGTTCTTAGCATCCCTTGCTATTCTCAGTTCATTTCCTGTTTTAGTCTTCCTGATGCTGTCCCTGCAATTCCTTGCTATTTATTTATATTCTTCCTTTGTGGCCCTGCTTCCACCTCCTGTATATTTTCTTTTTTTTCTTTCAGGTTGTCATTTAACTTTTTGTGGAGCTACATGGGCTTTCTCTGCTGTCTTCTACACTTTTTTCTTGTTGGAATTGTTTGTAGTTGTGCTTGGAGAATCTTCTTTTTCAAGATCTTCCACCCTTCTTGGGCACCTTTTCCCTTAAGAGTGAGTTGCCATGGCACCTCAGTTTTCACTGCTCTGAGTCCATTTAAGTTGGCTTTCTTGAAGTCCAGGGTACATGTTTGACTGCAGTTAACCTTTGTCTTCCTTACAATTGAGAATCCAAGCATCGCACAGTCACTTTCCCCCTGTGTTCCCGTGTCTGCTCTTTTGTTGACTAGGTCATCCTGGTTAGTATTAAATCAAGAATAGGTGGTCCTCTTGTTCCTTCCTCTACCTTCTGCTGGAGGAAGTTGTCGGCAACACATGTCAGGAATCTCTTGGAGGGGCCATGTCTGACAAATATTTCTCCCAGCATATATCAGGGAAATTGAAATCCTGGTGTGACTATATCATTCTTCTTGGAAATGCTGGCAAATTGCTTTACAAGGTTGCATCCTTGCGCTCTTTTTGACTGGGTGGTCAGTAATAGATGCCGATAACTATGCTTTTCTTATTTGTTGCTCCCTTTAAATTAAACCAGATGCTTTCAGTGGGACTACTAAGTTATTCTTCTGAAAATCAGGAAGGTGAGGGAGGAGCAGAGCCAACTGAGCAGAGACCTTGAGGAGTATTCCTTAAGGCAGTGGTTTTCAACCTTTCCACAGCAAAAACAGAAAAACTGCCTCGGGGTCTGCTGAAGCAGAAGCAAAAAGCACCATGCACATAATATAGTATTATGTGTGTTAGTTTCCAAACACAATATCCCCAGAAAAGGAAAATTCTCCTGAACAGCTAGAAACCAAACAACAAAAAATGCCAACACAAAATTGGCACAGCATGGCTCCAGCCAACTCCCACCGAGCTGTCTCTCCCCTCTCTGGCCCCACCAGTGGCACTGGCGCACCCCCAACAAACGCAATGCCAACTGAGGAAGAGGTGGTGGAGCACAGCTAGTCCCTGTACTGGTCCGTGGCGAGCAGGTTGCAGCCCCCCTGCGGACTGGCAGGAAATCTCCCGCAGAGCAGTGCCAGTCTGTGGACCTGTGGTCGAAAACCACTGCCTTAAGGCTATGACTGTGGCACTTTTCCGTCCCCTCTTCCTTCTCTTGAGGGCGGCAGCGCTTTGGGGAGGGACCTCAGCTAGGCCTCACTGAACTGGACAGTTCTTTGCATAAACGATATTCAGAAATCAGCGGGAGCAAACTTCTGCCTCCTAGGATACTCTCCTAACCTTAAAGTGGCCATTCTTGAACAAGACAACTTCCAAAGGGAGAAGCCACTAAACTCTAACTTATCAAGAACTTCAATTCTGCCATTAAAGGCCTTAATTGAGATCGTGGGTATATCTTACCATACATGTTAACTTAGCAAAGCCAGGATGCTTGTATTATCATCAATACTTCTTTGTAAATGGTCACTTTCATCATTTCACTAACATTTAAACTTCATTGTTAATTGACACCATCTGCACTTTTTTACATTCCCCCTCCATCAACTGTGTGGATATGTGCCTTGTGCTCACATTTCATGGATCCGAGGAAGTAGGCTCTAACTCATGAAAGCACATGGCACAATAACCGTCTTAGTCTTTCATTGTGTTTACCAGTAGTGCTTCAATAACGGTTTGCCTGTTATACTAAAGTTGAATGTTTCTGTCCACTTTCACTGCTGACTGGTGGACACTTTGCATTTCTCAACCTTTAATGCACAAAGAATGGATGAGAATGCTGACAGGAAGCACTCTCCTGAGAGAGTCCGACCAACATGCCTGAAAAAACATGGCACAGCATTCCTAATTATGGAGATTTAAGAGATACTTTTCTCAGGATCTGGAACAGGAGGACATTCTCTCTGTCTGCTGAAGAAATGGTGTAACTGGAAATCCCTTTTATGAAATCTTGCTTACTCTACTTGTTTGCTTCTGCTTCTGTTTCCGTTTCTTTCATTTGTGTCTAATTTTAGACCATAAGCACTTTACTCTGTCAGGTTTTACAAAGTACTGCCTACACAGATAATGTTATATTAGTAATAATAATTTCCTGCTCTAGTGCAGTGATGCCCAGAAGCTGGAGTGAAGCCCTTGTGCCCAAGGATATATAGCATGACATCTGCATAAAGATGGCCACTTTTAAGTAATGGAGCTTTTTAAAATGGGGATGCAGCCATACAACCTCCTGGAAGCTTGAAGGATTGAAGTACAGGTCTGATAGCCTGGGGAAAGGCTCACAGCCAAAACCATTTGAATATCGGCAGCATCATGGCATCGGAGCCACCATTGCGCTCTTCGTTTGCTACCTTCATTATATACCTACCCACTTAACAGTACCTCTGTTTCTTCCCGCCTTGCTGCGTCCCTTGCCAAACTTCCTGTTCTCTCCTGACCCCTACAGGAAGTGAATCTGTCAATAACATTAGTACACTCATTGATTTGGCCGGATTGGACATTTCCAGTACACCCCCACCGCCAATGCCTCCGACAGCACTGACACCAGCACCGACACCAGCGCCGGCTCCAGCGCTAGCCTCGTCGGAAATCCCCATCCTCCCTCCACCGCCTCAGGCACTCGGTCACTCCCGAAGCCATTCATCCAGCCAGGCAGACGCCACTGCAGCTCCGCTGGCCAGCACGGCCAATCCCCTCTCCTTGCTCGATGAGGAGCTGCTGTGCTTAGGTAAGATGGCTGCGATTTGGACAGGCTTGTGAGGGGAGGTACTACCAGGTGGCGGCGGCGGCGGCTGCTGGCTGTACAGGAGCCTTCCAGGACGGCTGCCCAGATCCCTAAAAGGAAAAGGGGAAGTCTGCTTGAGCTGGCCAGACTAGATTAGAGCTGAGAGCCGCAGTGGGTGGCAAGGTCTTCAGTATGAAAAGGATAGGAAAGATGGGATGCTGTGAGCAACAAAGGTGCTTCTTACAGTCATGAAGGAACTCCCTCATCCCAGGGTCTGTTTAGTTAATGACCTGGGGCAGTTGATTTCTTTTGTTCGTCTGAGTGACTGAGCTGGACCTGTTCATTAGTCTAGGAACAGCATCTCTCACATGTGTAGTAGTGGTTAAGAATGTGAGAGTGGGACTCAGGCAATCTGGGTTGTAGTTCGCACTCAGACATGGAGCTGACTGGATGACTTTGGCCCATCACAGACCCTCAGGCCAGCCCTCCTCACAGGGTTGTTGTTGTGGGGATAAGATTGAGAGCAGCAGGAGGAGAATGATACAAGCTGCCTTGAGTTCTTTAAGAGGAAAAATGGTGGGATATAAATCTAATAAATAAATAATATATGTAGTACCTTGCTTGCTTCTGAACATTGTAAATTTATTTTTATTTATTTATTTGGGGTTCTTATATGCCGCCCCATCCACATAAGCCTCAGGGCGGCTTCCATCAAATAAATAATAATACAAATATATAAAAACTAGAAACATCCAGGTGATAAGTTAAAACAATAAATACATTAACAAATTAATTAAAATACTGCTTAAATAAAAAGGTCTTGGCCTGGCGCCAAAAAATGATGGCGCCAGGCGGACCTCTCTGGGGAGCGCATTCCATAAGTGGGGCGCCACCGCAGAGAAGGCCCTCCTCCGGGTGCTCACCCTCTAATATCTTTCACGGAGGGTTCCTGGAGAAGGGCCTCTGCCGCCGATCTCAGGGGGTGGGAGGGCAAGTAGGGATGCAGGCGCTCCTTTATCCTTAAATAACAGCATTGTGAATCATAATGAATGCAGTGAAGAGTTAAGGAATGAATACATGGGTGGGCTCAATGTGTATCTTTTTCAGAATCCCAATGAGTTGCTGGTTTCAGGCATGATCCATTTAAACAGAAATAAGTCCTACAACTTCCAGCATTCTCCAAACACTGCAACCCTAACGGATTTTTTGGATTCGTACTTTGTACTATATTTCATCCTCACAGCAATAGGCTTAAAGAGAGTGATTTTCCTAAGGCCACTCAGGGTAAAACATGGCTGAGTGCAGATTTGGACTTAAGCCTCCATGATCCCAGGGTAAAATATTGCAAGTGGGCTCTCCTTGGAATCCCACCAGCTCTGCTGTGACTTTTCTCCTAGGAAATGTTCAGCTCTTATGTCCTTTCCCTTCCCTAATATTGTCTCTTATGCCCAGGCCTGAATGACCCACCTCCAACTGCAGCAAAAGAATCAGCTGAGAGCAGCCAATGGAACATGTTCCAGGTACTTTGCTTTATGATGATGGGACTGAATTTACACTCAAGCTAGTACACTTTGGGAAGGACCCTGGACCAGACGACTGGTACTATATTTGAGCGCACCTCAGCTGAACCTTGCTTCATTTTCTGGCTTATGCCATTACGAGAAGGCACCGATAAAAAACAATGGGCAGGGATCAGCCCCCTTGTCCATAATAATGTCTGAGTTCTGACAAGCGTTGGTTATTAACTGTGAGGTGTTGTTGAACCATGAGTCATCATGTTACCTGAACCCAGCATTGCTACCAAAATACGGTTTGTTAACCACAAACACTATAGCTCGCAATCTAGCAACAACTCTTGAGTTCTCTTCATCGGTTGTTTGTGGTTAACTGGCTCACAGTTCAGTGAGAATCCACATTCAACCCAGTGTGATCCCGCAATGTGGTAGTGCCTTTTGTGAGCTCTTGTTCCCCCGGTCCCTTGCTCTCACCCTCTTTTAGAGCATGCCCCACCTCATGGAGTGCCATCATGGAGAAGCAGCACATTGGAGGGGAAGCAAAACAGTTCTCAGTGTATTCCTTTGCTTTGTGTGTTGCAGAATGAGCCAGGAGATCTGGACTTCTTGAATCCAAAACCAGTTGCCATGGCCTGCAACTCGGCAGTGAACCCTAATCTTTCAGCTGTGTCGCAGCCTGCATGTGGAACATCAGCACCTCTTACTTCCACGTTCACACCCTCTCAGCCTGTCTGCTGTATCCCTGCCCCTACTGCATCCCCTTTCATATTCTCCACTGGACCACCTCTGGGCCCTCCAAGTACAATGTCCGTTGCCCCTGGCTATCTCAGCTCTGCTCTGGGGAGTAATAGTCTGCACAAGATGGATCCATTAGGACATCTTCTGGATGAAAGCAAAGGGTTAGGTTTCTCTTGTTCTTCTGTTTGAAAAGGATGGCTCCCATAAATCCCCCACACACAGCCTCACTCGCATTAAAAATAGGGAATAAGGGAGTTTTCCTTCATCAGGAGTGCAGAACCTAGGGAACAAATAGGACCCCTGAGGATTCCTTGTTTCGCCATACTGCTTCCCCTGATCTTCTCCCTTTCCCTCAACCGCTGATCATTCAGCGGTCTCCCAGCTTCCACCATTCCCTCCCCCCCTCTGATACGCATGGTACACAACGAGGCATGGTTGGTTTTTAAAGTTCACTGAGTTTTCAAAGAATAAGGCTGCTAATAGCATATGTGCAGCCCCAAGGGGTTTATACAGAGGAAGAGGAGGAAAAAAGTGGGCACAGGGTGGCACTAGAGAATGTAAGAGTTGGCATGCAGACTCTCTGGCTCCATGGCTCATTTTCTTTTTGTCTGTGTTTGTTCTCCAACCTGTTCCAGACCTTCCACTCAAGTCAACACAGCAGCCTCTGTGTTCCACCCGGGAGCTGCGTTGCCGGCTGCTCCTCCCGCACCTCTGGTGGCTGCCTCAGGACTACCTGCAACAGCTCCTGGAGGCCCTTCGGTTCCATTCCCAGGCAGCTGCACTCCTGGGTCAGGAAGCCCGCTTTTCCAGCCAGCCTCATTCCAGCAGCAGGGGAGTCCTCTGAAAGGACCGGAGATCTCCTTGGCCAATGTTCACGTTCCACTGGAGTCCATTAAACCCAGTAGGCACCACAGGCCTTTTTCACTCTCCCCGCTTGAGTCTAGATTGTGGTTTAATTAATTCAAACTGTCTTGTTTTCATAACATGAAGGTTTAAGCACGGATTCTTTCCCTTTATTTTGCCCAGCCGTACTATCTGAAAGCAAACCGTTTGTGCATAGCATGAAAAATAGACTTGGGAAATCTGCATGGCTGCATTCCACCCACCCTCACCAAAGTGGATATTTCTCTGGTTTAGTGAAAAACATGCACTGTGGTTGAAGGAAACGTCTGAAAATTAGTGGGCCCAGTGGATGCATCCCCTCTGGCCTTGCAGCTTTCTTTTACTTAACATACACAGGCCCTCTCCTTTGTCTCTGCGCACCGAGTGACCTGGCATATTGTTCCATGCAGTGCATCCGTGCAGCTTTCCTTTTTCCTTACCACACTTTCCCCCAAAGTCAACCTTTTATAATTAGAGCAAGTTCTGAGAATTAAGAACAAGTCTGGATTTATCTTATTCACAGCATATTTTCTGGTGGCTTTGAAAGAATTTCAAGTTTACAGTCCAGTGCAATGTGCTAAGTTCCCTAGTTTAAGAATACAGTTCTTAACAAGCAAAACTTCTAGGGAACTTGAAGGATGGAATGAAAGCACTGGCACCCGGGGCAAGCCTTTTCCTTTTGAGCCAGATGTGCCTCAGAAAGAAATATATGCAAATTGAAGGAAAAATGGCCACCCCCCATCCACTTTTAGTGGCTTAGCTCATTAGAACTCAGTGCAGTGCTGCATCCTTGCTCCAAACGAGGCGCTTTGCTCCCAGCCTTCTAGGGGTAAGTGTTCACTCCTGTGATTCCCAATGGGCCCCGTGCCATGTTGATGCTTTCTTCCTCTTGCAGGCAGTGCTCTCTCCGTGACTGCCTATGACAAGAACGGTTTGCGCATCCTGCTGCACTTTGCCAAGGAGTGCCCACCGGGCCGGCCTGATGTGTTGGTGGTGGTGGTGTCCATGCTAAACACAGCGCCTCTTCCTATCAAGAACATGGTGTTACAAGCTGCAGTGCCAAAGGTAGGGGTGCCGAGGATTTCTGCAGGGTCAGAGGACTGAACCGGAAGAAAGTAACCACTTTTCCGCCAATCTTGCTACCACTTTGCAGGATCCGTGTTGTAAACTCTTGCCTTAGTCTATCTCCCTGGCCCAGTCTACCAGGCAAGTATTTATTTTTATGATTTGTCAACTGTACATACAGCTGTCCTCCACATTAGACTTAGGTTTGATGATGCAATATAATTTCTGTTATCCTGCACTAACATTACCCAAGATTTTCTTCTTTGCTTTTTTACCTGCAGTCCATGAAAGTGAAGTTGCAGCCGCCTTCAGGGACAGAGCTTGCGCCGTTCAATCCCATCCAACCGCCTGCTGCTATCACCCAAGTCATGCTGCTGGCAAATCCTAGAAAGGTGAGGAGGTTTGTGTTCATGGTTACTCCATCCCTTCTTGAAGGCTGACCACTTCCATCGGTTTCTACAACCTGGGCCATTCAGCTTGAAAAGTCCCATCTCTGCTCACTATTAATCCGGGCAGAGATAGAAAGATAGCATAGCAGTCAAACCTGTCGCCCTGATACCCATCTTTGGCTACACACTGAATATCGGGTACCAGGTACCAGCCACTGGGGATGCAACATCTACCCTTTGCACTGTTCTTGGGAGCTTACAGAAGCATCTGGTCAGCTAGAAGTAGAAATAAAATCATGCTTTTTAGTATCAGGCTATAAATCTACCACCACCAACTTTTATGCTAGAATGACTTCTGCATTTGAAAGTACTATTACTGGATTTGTGACTCAAGGTAAAGATGGTTGCAGGCATAGTGCTCTTGAGTCTTTCTTACTAGGTTAACCATGTAGCACAATTCGTAGCAGTGCATTCCGTAGCCTGAAAGCAGAGCCACAGTGCTCTGATCAGATGCGGAAAGATGTGTAACCGCTGTGTCTTGGTTCCATAATACAGTATCGTGCACTTTCTGCCCATTCCCAAGCTTTTGTCTCACTATGTTGTTTTCCGTCTTCTTTGCAGGAGAAAGTGAGGCTGAGGTATCGACTGACTTTTGCATTAGGAGACCAGCCCAGCACAGAAGTGGGGGAGGTAGATCAGTTTCCTCCTGTGGAACAGTGGGGGAACCTATGACCCTGAGGCTTTCCAAAGGATTGGAATGAATGTGAAGTGGAAAGGCTACATGCGGTATCCGTTGGTGATATTTAGCTTTCTGTACATGTTCTGTCCACTCCACTTGTTGCTTTAGTCCAGACTGCTTCCTGCACTCTGGAGAAAAGTAGTCCAGGGCATGAACTTGTGTTGGCAACTAGGAACAGAGGCCTGGCTGGCTTCTTTACTTTGGCCAATCCAGTTCTACCTTCCACTTTGTTAAACTTGAAATAGGATCGTTCTGGAGAGCTCAGTAAGCGGAAAGGGAGTGCACTGGTGCTCTTAGCATTGGTCTGTTGTCTGCAAAGGGCCATGATGCCTTCCTAAGTTCCTTTGGGGCTGAGCCCTAACAGATGTTCCTGTGCTCTCTTTTTACCTCCTTGGTGCCAGAACTAGGACAACCTGTGGGCTTGCAGAGCAACAACACGGGATCCAAAAGAGGAGGTTTCTGCCATCACCCAACACCCCACTTTCTTTTTTGGGTAACACTTACCTTAAATGCTAGCACAGCACATACAGGTGAATAAGAGCTGGATATTTCTCACTCGTCATATGAGAACATTAACAAACACAGAGCTCTGCAATTGCCACCTCTGATTATATTTCCAGCCGACTCTCTAAGGTGTGCTTCCCAGGCAATGAATTGGGTTTGTATGCCCACGGCTGTGCAGCAGTTTTGCCTCTGCATTCGACAATTGTATTCTGTTGAGAGGTAAAACTAATCTAGAGTCACAGCCATTGCTCAAGCGGGGGAGGATGGTGGAAATGATTGAGGAAGGGCATCCACTGTCAGTGCAACTGTTAATCAGGGTCAGTGTTAGGAAGTGGTGCAGCGAAGGCCTCGAGTCTTCTTTTGAAGGCAGTATTATTAGTTAGGAATATTCAGTGTACATAGAGCTATAGGAAAATGTCAGACCTGCAGATGAAGGGAAGGAGAAGCCATGGCAATGCATGTGCGGACTGATTATAATCTATTTTATTCATTCCAAATATTAAGTGGCTAAGTGCAATTGTCCCCAGGAGATATCCCTGTGTTGAGACAGACAAAACTTTCTAAATATTAATGGTATTTATAATTAGGCACAAAAGCCATAACACGAGTATTGCTGCTTTGGACCAAGAAGTAGCTTCCTTTTATCCAACATGTTTTTTGATCTAAATATTTTCAAAAATCTGAATTTGTCTTTATGACATGCATATACTCTCGTCATGAACTGATCGTTTTGCTTGGTTATAGAGAAGGCACTTTGGACATACAGTAGGCTTAAGAATCACTAGAAGCGTAGTTTTCAGTACTTGCTACACTGTGCACCTGAAGACAGAAACTTGGCTGAAGCCAAGTTAATGAGTTTTTCACAACTCCATCTTACAGAGGTATTTCTGGCCACCCTATATTTAAACGTCTTCCATGTTAACATCATGGAGCAGGCAGGTGTCTCCTTCAATGGCTTGTGTTCTTACCAGGTTTGGGTTTTCTAGCAGGAGAGAGCAAACAGCACATCAGCAGCATTTGGAAGAGTCAGACTTGCGTAGACAGTTGCCCTCTGTGCAGAGGCAGACACAACCCTGATGAGCGAAAGGCAAGCTATGAGGCTGAGTGGTAGACTGCATTCGCTGACAGGAACAGAATTGCATTTCTTCTGTCTCTTGATTCGGCCGTCATGAGTATTTCAGTCTCTCCGCTATCAAGTTTTGCTTAGCTTACCGAAGTCTGCCCTGTGCCATAGCCTATCCATCAAGAGCAGGTTTAATTGCCTAGCTGCAAGTCATTCTCTGACTGAGGAAACCAGAAAAAAGCACAAATGCTTTCTGCCGAATGGCTTTCTGTGTCAGCCGTGCTGCCATGCCCATACTGTATAATCCAGCAGACAGATTCCATAGTCTCACTGTGTGGAAATGTACTGTTACAAGCTTCAGAAATTATTTATGAATGTTACTCGTCCAGAAGCTGAAGTTGCAGCTTCCTACCAAACACTCAAGACTGTAAATATGTCTCAGAAGCATTCGTTTTTCTGCACGTTCAATAAAATTGCTTTCTCTACTCTACTTCAGCTGCCTTGCAGCCAATTCATATCACAGTGTGTTTTGCTCCTAAACCACAGGGCCCAACAGCTCACTCTAGTTTTTCTTGACAAGGGTTGTGGAAGAAAGGACCATGAATAGGTTTTGGTAATCAAAATACGCTTCGGTGGGTTCTTTAAACCATGGAGCGTGCCAAATGCGATATATGTGAGCATTACAGCAGCATGGTGTGTCATGCCATCCATACCAGGGTGGCATGCCTTGTTGGAGGGGAGGAGACCCCTCCAGTGACTTAACAGCACCCCTGGGCGGAAGGTTGCTTCCCCCTCAAACAAGCCATGCCACCTGGACTCAAGACAACGTGACAAGCCATGCTGGGGCAGTGAGGATGGAAAGTACGCCCTGCGTGGCCCCCGTTTAAATAAAGCCGCAGTGGCTTATTTTGATTGTACAGACCATTCTAAAGGCCCTGGAAGCAGGAGGAAGCTTGCTTGCCCTTGGTTAGCGAGGAAATGGATCAGGCAGGGAAGGATTAATTCCCTCTTCTGCATAAAGCAGGGCTAAATATGTCAATAACTCCACCTCCTAGAAGTGGGGAACCCCATTAAGTCTTGACTCTGCCTTGCAAGAAAGTTCAGCAGTCAGTTTCTGATCCCAGAGGGATGTGGGAGCAGATTGCTTTTTATTTGGTTTTACAATGGAATCTGTTAATCTCTTCTTTCCCCCATCATTTCTATAGACAGGGATGTGTGTTTCTGTGGCTTCCCTGCTCTTAAGTTAACAGGGACAAAATCCTTGACACCTTGTACATTGTGTTGCACTTTTTTACTTGGCCTTATGGACTAAATGAAGAAAATCCAAGATGCTGGGAATAATTTCTAGGTGTTGAGGACAGGAGGCAGTTATAGCTGCCTCAGTACAGATGATTTTCTTAATTGTGTAATGAATAAAGATATTTGTCCTTTGATTTTGGGTGCATAGCTCATACTGGGTGCTACTTCAGTTGAACAAATGGACTGCAACCTTAATGAAGTCTAGAACAGCAGATTGTGAATTTCTGAATTCAGTGGAAAGGGGATTACAAGAGAGATGCAAAATATGACATTTATTCTTAGAAAACCCCCCCGCCACAGTTATGTACAGTAAAACAAAGCAATGTTTTTGAGTTACTCTAATAAGCAGCTGTCATGGTTCTTCCACCGTGCCTTCTTTTACAATGGCTCGTGCGAGGTTTCGTGCCAGAGCAAGCCGCAACATTTCCACCTTCATTGTTTCAGCATCATCATCCTAGAAACAAAAGTAATCTTAAAATATTGCCAAATCACTGTCAGAGCAGTACGACAGTGGAACCAGTTGCCACACTGGGGACACCCAAGGTGAAACTGGGCAGCCACCTGAGTGGGATGGTGTGACTTGGTGTCCTGCACCAGCAGGAGGCTGGAACTATGATATCAGATAATATATCCTGGATTTTATCTCCTCCTCTAGGAGTATCAGAATGTCTTCACCATGAGAAAAAGCCATCTCGTTACCTTTACAATTTTTCTGCACCTATAGTGCAAACCTAAGAAGCTTTTCTTGTCTGCCTGGGGCATTGTAGGAATGGGAACAATGGCTAGAACCAGCCACCAGCACTGCTGCCAGTGTCATCTTGCCGATCATGCCATTACAAGGCTCTTCCCCAAGGGTTCCCTCAAACCTGGAGCTGCCGCTGCTCTTTTTCCTTCCAAAAAGGTGTGGATGCGATAAAGAATGGCAGAAATCCCTCTATTTTTCTTAACTATTCACACAAGTGAGTCTGTGTTGTCCTTAGACATAGAAGGAAGGCATCTTGCAATGCAGGTTTTTGCCTTAAAATGCTGCCATGCAACAGAGAGACTTTTCTGCCTTTCCCTAAAGCCTTCTGCATCCCAGGCAACTTGCGCAGGGAAGGAGAGGGGTAATTGGCAGACGGCATCACATAACACACTACACAGAGGCAAATATGTGCCTGCCACTATGTGAACATGAAGCTAGAGTAGGGCTACAGCTCGCTCCAGAGCTCTGCTACATAGCACAATAATACGAACAGTGGGGGGTTTGTGTATATGCGAATTACATTTTTATGCAGACAGATGAAATATAATGGGAGTTATTCATTTAATGCTTTTCCCCAGCTCATTGAGCTCTACAGGAAGGTGACGCATACGCTTTAACTTTTCCCACTTAAGTCAGTGAATCATAAAAGGGCTCAGCATTGGCTAGATCATGCCCTACATGTACCTGTTCAATTCATAAAATGTCAGAGAACCCTAAGCACTTGCCCAGAAACAGGATTACCTGCAGCTTCTTTTTTAACTCTGATGCTGTCACATCTTCTAAGCATTTCATTAATTCATACGTCTGATCAGCAGAGAATATTACCTGAAAGAAAGTGGTAGTTAATTTGCATTTTCTCCAAAATTTATTTATCTCTTGGGTGAGCTTTTAAGCCAGAGCTTCATAGCAAGTCAGGCCTCCAAACATGAACAGTATTACTTCAGTGGCTGATAAAGAAAATGCTGAAATTAACATCTACGCTGTGTGCTGATGTTAAATTTATTTAGATTTCTTTGGTTAGTGATAGCTTTTAGTTAATTCCAGTGTAATACACATGAACACTGGTGTGGTAGAGGATGCTTTCACATCTTGGCAGTGGTGTGCTCCGGACCAGTGACAGACAGAATTGGTTTCTATAGATCAGCACCTACATTATCCACCATATTCAGAGTCTACCAACTCTAATGGGGAAGAGCTCTTTGCAAAATTAGAATGGGCAAACTGAACCTCAGGGGCCCTTTGTATTTTACAGTAAACATCAAGGTGAACTGATCCCATCTGCAGGAAAACAAAGCTTTTATTGTAATGAGTTCGTTTCGTCAAAGGCAGACGATCAAAGAGAAAGATCACACGTGTGTGTCTCTTCTAGGAACACCACTGCTGGAGTTTTAGCAATTACACTGAGTGCACATGATAGCTAATCCACCACCACTGTCTGAATCTTGACAACACTCTAGCATTGGAGATTTCTGGGCTCCTGTTGAAAGGTTTTTGGGACTAAATGCTCCCCTGCTCAGTGAGGGTCCCTCCAAACATGGGAAGCCTTCCCTCAACGACCACCACTAGCTTGTGATTCATGGTTCAGAAATACCACACTTGCCTCTTTCTGCTCCAGGAGGGGAAGTGCGTCAGTCAACAAGGTCATCCAGAAGGAGCATGGAGCAATGCGAGCTGTCATCAACATCAAGAGCAGCTTGGCTGCTGCAAAGAACTGCTTCTCGCCATACATCCGATGAAATTCCCGGTATTTCCCTACAACCAAATGTTAAGTCAGCTTAACATTTTGCAGTTTGCAGAATATCACACCACTGGCTTCTAAAGCCATTTCTTTGTCTCTAGACCACCAAAACTGCAATAGGGCTGCCCAGCCTTTTTGTTGTTAAATAAGCAAAATTTACTGATAACAATCCCAGGACAAGACCGACAACAGTAGAATAGCCACATATGCTACTGGTGCATCTAAAAACATTTGCCTCCTAAAACAGTGTTGTTCAAACAAAAATGCCCTTCGTGACACAAATAGGAAGCAGCTTAGACAGCCTATTTACTTAACTACAGATGATTATCTTCCACAAGGGGAGCATGAGCAAGGGGAGCAATGCCACTTGGCACTGTTGAATGCAGGAGGAGCCATGTCAAATCAGGCCAAATACAGCCAGTACTCAGTTCGCACAAGGAACATCAAGATGCTCACAGAAAGCCCACAAACAGGCCATAAATTAGTAACTTCCTGCTTGTATTCCCCAGGAACAGCGCGTGCGCGCACACACACACACACAATCGATCTATAAAATAGAATAACCACTTAGGACAAACAGCCACTGATACCTTCTCCTCTATGACTTTCTCTAATCCTTGTTCAAAGCTGTCCAAGTGGGTAGTCATCAATACAATCTGTGGTACCAAATTCCATAGTTTATGCCCTTGTTTTTTCCTGATATGGATCCTGTACACAGGCACCTCAGGACACACTGCGGTCAAGTTGCCACAAGTTGTGGGGCCATCTCAGGAATGTGCCACATCACCATTCCTTTTTTAAGAAAGACACTATATAGTTGCTCTCACCAAGAAATGTCAGTCGATCACTAAGCAGCATGGATGGGCCCAAGTTATCAATGAGGTCCAGGTCCGAGAAGGTGCCTTTTTCGCAGTATTCCTTCAGAAATCTAGGAGGGTATGATGGGAGCAAAGCAGGTCAGCACTCATAATACCTGTTTTGCACCATTTGCCAGTGCAGTCCAGCAAGTCCTCGCCTTGCATTCTAAAGATGCAACCCCCACTTCTGTGAAGAAAATCGCCTTTGGCACCTATTGCAGTGTTTCCCAAACATTTAATAGTCACAGCACATTTTTCTTGTCCGAAGGCACATTTCAGTCTTACCCTCTAAAAGGCTTGCTGCTGCTTCTCAGACCACACCTGTGCTTCTGTGCAGTTTTAAACCTGCACCTGATGTGGGCAGAAGGATGATCGTATCCCCCAATGGGGGCACCGGGGCTGCTTGCAGATGATCTTACTAGACCCTAGCTAACTCATGCCACTTCCTCCACAGAGGAGTTCTACTTGCAGAACTCAAGCAGAAGTAGCAAATCATTCCTTTGCTAAATAAACACATTCAGTTTCCCTGAAAATGACAACCTGCAAACAGGAAACTTGAATTTGCCCCCCAAGGTAGCTCGATTACACACTCCCTTGTCTCTCTTGCTGGTTCCAAGGAATTCCAGCCTCAAGCCCTTTCCCAGATTTTTAAAGCTGGTGCCTAGGATCCAGAAAGAATGACCTCTGTTGCCTTGGAATGCCGCTGGCTGCCGGACCTTAACATCAACATACAGCTCACCATATGGGGAGGGAGGTTCCTCACTGTGCCTGGGACCCCCGTTTTTTGGAAGTGCATGGGAACCAGTGGGAGCGAACTCTGGATCATTTCTCCATCAACAATCCAGAGTTTCTGGCTAGCACAGCAGGGAGATGGACCCAAGGACAGGTTGTTTAGTGCCTGCAATATCCTCAGGTTGTTTAGGGAAATGGGCATGGGCAAATAATGGGAAGCCAGCATGCACACTCCCAAACAAGCCATAGTATGCAAACTGTGGGATGGTCATTATATGCACCACAGCTTTCTTTACAAAGTTATGCAAGGGTGCTGGAGCATCTGACTGCAATTAGACAGCATTGACTCCTAACAGCTGGCATGCTATCTTAGGGTCCGTGCTCTGTGAGTGGGTTACCTTTAGGTCCCCGCCCAGCTGCCTTGTACAGAAAAAGGGGCTAAACAGAATAAGCATGTTACATCAGAAGATTTTGTCCCTTGTCGAGAAGGAACCCTAAATGTGGTCATGCACAAGCCACCTCAAGCAACCATGAGGTCACCATCTAGCAGGACACCAGAGGCCAGTTTTGAACAGTGTTGTCTCCCAACAGCCATTTTATCCCCAAAACCATGTTTCCCAACCTCTTTGTGTGACTGCATCTTGACAAAATGGTTCTCCTTGCTTTAAAGCCTACCTGTCTGATACGAGGGTGGCAAAAGCAGCATCCTTTGCTCGGATACTCCAAGACAATGCTGAGCCCAGGCGATTATTCCGGACAGCTTTCATGGCCATGGTTTTACAGATGCTACGAACTTTGTGGGGTGGAAAAGCAGGTATGCTCAGTAAGTGACACTTCAATTAACACTTTAAAAGAAAAAGACGTTGAAAGATTTTTACAAGCAGCCAAGATCCAGGGATATCTACCTTGCTCGCTCAACATTCGCTGCTCACAGATCCTCAGGACTTTGAGGGCTTTATGCTCTGTTTCCAGAGGGATTCGTTCAATGTGATGCTCTAAGTATGCTCTGCCATATTCTGGACAGTGGTCAAAATAGTCTACTGCGAGTTGCCATAAACTACAAAGGAGAAACAAAGGAGGAACAAGAAATATTTATTGGCTCTTTCCAGGAGGGAGTTCTCCCAGAATTACCTTTTAGTAGCCTGTAGGGATGTATGCAGCTTCTGTCTGGGGAGTAAAACCTTGATAAATTCTTCTGGTTCCATCCCTTTTTCCCCTGCTGGCACTGCCTTGATCTGTAGCAAGATGAGCCAATATGCAGATTCTTTTCTGTTTTAATGGTGCCGATATGTGCAGGGATTTTTTTTGGGGAGAGGTACCCTTGAAATTAACTCCAATTAGCCCTGGCAGATGACCTTTCTCAAAAGAGAGACAGCAGGTAGGGAGTGTGCCCTGTTGTTTCTCCTTGACCTCTCAAGCAGCTTGCTTGCTTGCTTGCGTGCTTGCTTGCTTATTTATTACAAACATGTATATCCTGTCCTTCCAACAAGCACTCAGGATGGCTTACATAATGTCAAATTACAATAACACAGTAATAAAACCACAATTATTAAAACAATATAAAACAGGGCATCATAAACTAAGAGAAAAGAAAAAGAAGGAAAAGACTAGAAAATGCGACTGTGGGGAAGGAAAAAATATCTTAAAACAGCTAAAACCCTTGATTATTAAAATGAGGGTTAAATAAAAAGTTCTTTACCTGGCGCCAGAAGGAGTACAACATTGGCGCCAGGCAGACCTCTCTGGGGAGTGCACTCCATAGTCTGGGCACCACTGCAGAGAAGGCCCTCCTCTAGGTAGACACCCTCCATACTTCCTACAAAGAGGGTTCCTGGAGCAAGGCCTCCCCTACCGATCTTAAGGGGCGGGAGGGCATATAAGGAAGGAGGTGTTACCTTCAGGTATCCTGGTCCCAAGTCTTTTAGGGCTTTATAGGTTAATACCAGCACCTTGAATTGGGCCCAGACTGCAATTGGGAGCCAGTGGAGCTGACAGAGGACCGGCGTTACGGGAATAATGACCGGCCCCCATCAGCTCTATCTGTACCAGTTGAAGTATGCGGACTGTTTTCAAGGGCAGCCCCACATAGAGCGCAATACAGTAATCCAACCAGGAATTTACCCAGGCATGTATCACTGTTCTATAGCTGTGCTACCACGGGATCCTGGCATCTACCTGGACTGGCTCACGCAATGGGGAAGGAGGTGCCCCACTGCAGCATTATGCTGCTACCTGCAGGGTCAGATGCAGAGAGCAACGCTGGGGGGCTGCTCCTGGCCCCTCCGCTGTGGGGTGCCACGTGGCAGGATCTTGTCTCCGGGGCTTGCTAGCATTGATGCGAATCTACTGGGAATAGCCATGAGGGGATTTGGCTGAGGGTGTCACCCGTATGAGGACAACAGCTCATTCTGTTTCCCTGTGCCAGGCATGACCAAGATCCAGTGGCAGGCTGGATGAGGGCCAATCAACCAAGCATGCCCTGGTAAGAAAGAGGCTTGGGGAGGGGGATGCTTCCTGGTCTGGAAACTGGATGATTTATCTGTCCCAGCTGGCCTTGCACTCCCTCTGCAGGGATACTTATCTTGTCTGGGGATGCTCTCCATCACTAGAGGGCCAGTGAGCGCCCACGACCCACCTAAGGGGATGCGGCTACGGCTACAAGCATTCTCGACCTGGGCTAGCCCAGCCACAGTGGTCCATACATTCATAAGCTCAGCACTGGCCTGTTCTAGTGCACTTCGTATGGGGCTGGCCCCGAGAGTGGGTCGGAAGCTACGGCTAGTGCAGAAAGCTGGACCTGTTACTCCGAGGAGCTTGTAACTCCTGCACCGGCTTCCAGATGACTACCAAGCTAAGTTCATGGTGTTCCGGATGGTTTACAAACAGCTGAGGACCTGGTTACCTGAGAGGGCACCTTCTTCTGCATGGGCCACCCTGGTCTTAACACTCTGAGGGAAAGGGGACAACAGCCTACCGATGTTCACCACGTTATGACACAGGAGAGAGCCTTCCCGAACGCACCAGCCCCATATAAAATGCACTACAACCATGTGGGACAATGTCCTCCTACTGTGGAGGGTTTCTGCCAACAACAAACATTTATTTGCCCCAAGGATCTCAAGGCCGCTTACAAGGTCCTCCCCTTCTCCATTTTATCCTCACAGCAACCCTGTGAGGGAGGTTAGGCTGAGAGTGGACCAAAGTCACCTGGTGAACGTGGCCAAGTGGGAAGAAGAACCCAGGTCTTCCAAGTCTCAGTCCAACAGTCCAACAGTTAAGCTGTATCAGCTCTGCCACCTATCCTTGGTTATGTTAATTATGGATATTTAATTAGTATTTTATTATTTTTACTGTCCTCTGTTAGAAAATTACTTTGTGAACCTCTTTGGGATATAATGAAAATAGTGTATTTTTTTTTCTGAAATAGGTAAAACAGCAGCCCAGCTCCCACACTTTCTGATGGTGCTTGGGAACTCAGAGACTTGATGGAAGAAACCAGCCAGAATATAAAAGATGACATGAAAGTAAAACATTTTGGTGCTCAGACTAAGGTGAATGCACCTGTGTGTCAAATGGCACACTACATTCACGCAGCAGAAGAATCTTCAGGTTTGCAGTGCACTTAAACTGGCTTTTCCTCTACCTAGAAGCCATTTAGGTAAAACTGATACCATAAATACTATCTTGGCTGTGCTCACAAACTTGAAACATGTGTTATTTCAGATGGGCCAAATTCTCTCTGGTGGGCTGGATGGTGTTTCGTAGTTTTCTTCCTTCCAGAATTCCTGCCTAACTGTCACTTTCTCGTGTGTCTGTCAACCTGTTTTCCTTCAGGGTGGCTTTTGAAAACAAATGAACAAACGGAAACTGATTGTTACCTATGATGGGAGAAGAGTCCAGAAGCATATTCCAGCAGGAGGTATTCACGCATATTGGAACCAAAGCTAAAAGAAGACGAGATTGTAATAAATTTCCCAGTATTATACTATCACTTCCACTGAAGGAAAGATTTCTTCAGATATAATACTTTCACTGTCAAACCTCCTAAGCCCAGTGTCAACCTCACTTCTGAATGGGTAAGAAGTCCATGTTTGCTTTGCACTTTGCCAAAAGGAGAGAGCCCAGTCAACCACCGAGAACAGTCCGCTCAGCATTCCGGGGTAAGAACAGCTTTTGGTTTGTTCCACAAAAGACATTTCCAAAAGGGAATAAATTTCTCTTGCCTGAAGAAGAGCATGTCAAAATATTTAAAGGAAATGCCTCGTTGTGAAGTTGGGGCCATAGGGAAGGCTTCCACAGTTTTTGCTTTCCTCAATGAAGTGGCTGAGGAGATACACCTCTGGTCAAAGGGAAGTGGTGGAGGCTGCCTGCATTTCAGTCTAGAGCCCAAGGAAAACTTGCCTTCCTCGCAGGCTGAGCAAGGGCTACCTCCCTTGCCTCAGCAGTGCTATGGAAGAGCCTGCTAGCAAATAGGAGAGAGACGGCCATCATGGGCTGAGCATCTTCCAGCTGCGCAGCCCCACCTCCAAGCCTCTGAGGTCTTCAGTGGGTGCTGCTACCAACAGTGCGGAAAACCAAGGACCTGGACAGAACGGTTGCCTGCAGATACCTCCCTATTTCTGTTCCTGCTACTCGACTCCAACGTGATTTTACTGGGAGAGTCTTTTGTAAGCCTCTATCCAAGCCTCGTTGGGCTATCAGCAGGTGAAGCTGCTCCTACCAAGGCACTGCACTGATCCATCTAGTTTAGTACCGTCCACTTGGACTAGCAGCGGCTCTCTAAGACCACAGAGATTTTTCCCAGCACCAGCTACAACAGACACACCTGACTGGAGACGCAGCAGATCAACCCAAGAACCTTCTTCATGCACAGCATGTACGAAAGAGAACAGCCCACATTTAGATGTGAACGCGGGAACAACATCTGGCTAGAAAGCTTTTGCTACTGTTTCCTCTCCCTGCCCCTTTTAGAACCCTCAGGGAAGGGAGGCAAAAAGTTATTTAAATATATCCTGAAATCAGACATTCTCTATTTGTTATTCCAAGGTGACAAATGCAGTACTGTACCCCATACTTAAAATCCTATTGTTCTTTATGGACAATATGAACTGCTAAGCACCCCTAAAAAAATCTCATGGAAAGGCCTCGTTGGACAAGAGGCAGGAGAAATGCTTTATCCAAACAAGGCAACCACTGGAGGGCAACTGTCCGATCAGAATGCCATACAGGCACATCCAGTCACATGTGCCACAGGATTGCTGACAGCGAAAAGAAAGTAAGATTTTCAGTTGTGCTTTACCAATAAGAGCCAAGAATGCGAGGTGGGAGCCCCTCCTTTAAATCTCACCTACCGTTCTCTTGGACTTTGCTCCATGTCCAGAAAATGACAGTGATAACAACATTGGCCTATCTTGTAGGATGGTTGCAGAATTACAAAGATGATAGCCATGAATAATGTTAACACTCTGACAAGCAACATAAATGCCAAGAGAAGGTGCTTAAAACTGAGTCTTAGTTTTAAGTCAAGGCATTTAAGAACCAACCCGATTTCATAAGCTACGAACAATACAGTTCTCCCATGAAGTGTTGCCAGACCATACATATTTTCCCTTGGAATTGCTGGGCACTACAAGCTGAGAAAGGAAGCTGTCCAGTTGCCCCACCTCTAGGGGTGTCTGGCCACTGAACAGACACATCAAATAAAGAAAGGTCTACTCACTAGAGGTTGTGAGACTGAAGAAGATTGCAGTGATCTAGGAGGTCTGTCAGATGAGCCACAAACCACCAGTTGCTCAGGGCAATGCTGTGCATACAAGAAATCCAAGGGAAGAAACATAAGCTTATAATCTCAACACACACACACACACACACACACACACACACTTTTTTTTCTAATTCTCCAAAAAATGACAACATTCCCCCATCCAATGTAGTAAACTTTATTAGGTTGAAAAAGAACCACATTTGTCTGGTGAATGCTTCTGCCACTAATTTTTTGTTTTAAAGGGACTTTCCAATTTCTTACATCCATGGCTGTTTACAAGAATCCTTGTCTCTTAAAGCACACAAGAAATTTCACTGTGAAGTTGAGAGAGTGCAGTGCGAGCAATCGAAAGCAAAAAAAGGGATGATAAAGTCACCTGCATTCTTTAATCACTTGATGGATATCAAATTCAAAGGCTGCCAGTAAGATGCTGTCTAAAGGCTCCGGGCTGCTCTCTCCTCCCAGGAACAAATCCAGGCTAGACTGTGGAAAATGCAAAGAGGTAAGGTAAGTTCAGCACCAAGAAAGTTTGTGGCCTGGTTATGCTCCTGCAGTATAGGGAAGAAGGATAAACGAAACATGGGCTGAAAAGTGTGGAAAAGGATCCACCCTTCGATTTCTCAATAAAGTATGTTCAAAATATCTAGTAATCAAGCAACTTCCTCACAACACACATCAACAGCTCCCTGGACCAACTTTGCCTGTTCACAGGTCCAAGCAAAGTCACGGTAACAGTTGTGTTATCCAAAGCAGGGCTGGCACCCGTATGAAATAGGCGGGAGACCCTGACTTGCTAAGGCAGCATCTGGTGTATATAACAGAGTGGTGTTGGGAGCTTTCCAACCAGAACCTTAAGCTTTCTTAAACCTCTGGTGGGAACTGCTGGCAAGAAGTGATGGACGGTGCCCTTGTGGATGTGCTGAATGCCCCTGCACTCTGCACACGTGCAGTCCTTCTAGTATGGCGCCATCCCTTCCTCCTCCCACTTAAAAGGCACACTGGAAGCCAAAGAATGCTGGACACCACTACCAATTGCCTTTCTGCTTGTGGAGCAGAGAAACCTGTGGCTGGCTCTACTCTAACGGCAGGCTGTCTCAGGTCACCTGTGCATAGAGATGGAGTTCCATATGCTTCACAGTAGGATGAGTGTACAAGAGCCGGGTTACCAGGAAATGGTACCAGGTCGTCATGAGGTCTTTCTTCTCTAGAATGGTGCTCTCATCACCCAGGAGGATCTAAAGGACAAAGGAGAAAGAAGCCAACACCTGAAGTGCCCCCATCAGCACCTGCACAGACCATTACTTTGATCTTTTCGCCCTAAGGAAAGGCCATTTGCTAGGGGTTCTTCGTTGCGAGTGATGCAGTGGCAACAGTGATATAAAAAGGCAGAGACAGCCTCCAATCTTTTCCTTCAGTACTTCACTGCAAGATCCCCACCACAGAATACGTGTCTGACATGCTTTAAATCTACCACTGGCTCACCTCCAAACTTCATTCTTGAAGCCCACATACCTTGCAGAGGGTCTCCAAGTGAGGGTGAGAAGCAAAGGTCCCATCTTTCAGGAACCGCTGACATTCCTCATGCCAGTGCTGCCATTTCAGCTCCATCTCTGTCAAAGTCTGGGTGTTACCAGGCTAGAAAAGGATATACAAGTATGTAAATTTCTTTCGTATGGAAAAGTGTCTCTAAAATTCCCCTGACAAGTGCATGGAAAACTTCCATGAAAAGAGAAATAGCATTTCTATATATATATATTGTTGCATACAATGAAAGGGACACACAATTTGAGACTCTGAGGTAAATACTGTATTACAAAGCACCTCTCTTGGGAAACAGCAAGCAGGACAATGTTCTGCTAACAAATTCCTCTGCCTACACATATACAGAATACAGTAATATTAATACAACTTCTTTCCAAATACATGGGAATATAGCTGATGCCCAGGCACAATATTCTTCTTGTAGCTCTGTCAAAGGTTATCACTACTTTGCAAACACAAGAGAAACTTATTTCTTACTCATACACCAAGGAAACTAGTATTAAAAAGCACAGTAATCTTCACAGTTCCATGGCAGACCCCTTGTTTTGCATGTGGAAAGCCCTGATTTCAGTTCCCAACATCTTCAGTTTAACAAAACGCTAGACAGTGTGGCAATTAAGACTTCTGCTGGGTATCTTGGAAAGTCTGCACCTGCCCAAGTAGAGACAACTGTTGCAGACAAAACCCTGCTAAACCAAGCCCAATGGGACTGTATGAAAGAAGATGTCTACATACACAGAGGACGGGCATCTTCTTCATCAGTTCATCTAAAATTTTGCACATGTTCGCAGAAGTCGGATGGGTACTGGCTTCCTTCGAAAGCAATTGTCGTGCCTCATCCATCCGGCCCTGAAGCACAAAAATCGTTACCTGAAACCAAACAAAAAGGATTGTTATAGGACACTATGGAGTCAGATCTCAGAAATCTGTGGAATGCGCTCCCCAGAGAGGTCCGCCTGGCGCCGTCATTATTTGCTTTTCGGCACCAGGCCAAGACCTTTTTATTTAAATGTTATTTTAATTGAATGTTAAATTATTTATTGCTTCTATCTAACTCTGGGATGTTTCCAATTCTGTATATTTTTGTATACTGTTATTTATTTGATTGGAAGCCACCCCGAGGCATATGCGAATGGGGCGGCATACAAGCACTCCAAATAAACAAATAAATAAAATGGCCTAATTGTGCACATGCAGTACTGCAGTGGCACAGTCAGACGCTAGAACAACATCTAAAATGGGACAAGTAGGGTTAATCGGTCCTGGCAAGCACGTCCAGTCGCACCAACGTAAATGACTCTCTGCAGGCCAGTAGTCCTCCATTCCTGCATTTGCCGCAAAACAGCATGCTGCCAGCGAGCACGGCTGACCATGACGGCTGCGGATGCACCCTGGACTACGCACGTCCCAGGCACAAAGCTCCCAGCCGCAGTCTTGCATGCTGGCTTCACAGGCAAAACATCTTGCACTATGAGACCCTGAAAAGGCCTGGGACGCAGGGCTTCCAATTCACAATGAAAGCTGGCTCAAACAAGGCCTCCCTCCCTTGGGATGGTTCCATTTGATATAAGCTGAAATGATGCCACTTGGCCCAAGAAGGCATCTTTCCAGGCGCAAAGAGCAGGCGTGTGTGCGCTCTGAAAAGGGACAGTCCAGATTTACCACATTCCAGAAGTTTTCGTGCTTTGCTGGATTTTCACTCCTCAGAAGTTCACAAACCATGTTGTCCACATCGCACACGTGAAGCCGAACCCAGTCAAGGAGGAGACACAGCAGAGAACCAGCTGGGGAAAAAATAAACACATTTCTATAAGCTTCCTGCTTGGCTTTAACTTTTAGCCTCTTGTTCTTGGATGCAAACACACAGATTTGGTCTTAAGGAATTTGGTTTCCCCAGGCCCCTTAAAAAACACAGAAGCTCATCACCTTGCGCACTCTTCCACCCTCCTCCCCCTTTAAACTACACTCTGGCCTTCAGGACAAATTATGGCAGCTACAACTCTTGAAAGAAGTCACCCTGTTGTACACTGATTCACATTAGTGACTAGCAACTTCACACAAGATGATTTTTTATTTATTTAGAATTTTTCTCTACCATCATTCATTAAAAGTGTCATGATGGTATACAATTTTTTTCACAAAATATTAATTCAACAATAAAACAATTAAAACTCACTGGTGCCAATACATGATGCTAAAATAAAATACCATTTAAAATAACTAAAATACCATTTAACAATTTTAAAACTGGGTAATCAAAAAGGGTGTAGCCTGGCACTGGAACAAATAAAGCATTGGCACCAGGCACAACTCTGAGGAAGGAGTTCCGTAATGGGGGCGCTACAGCAGAAAAGGCCCCCCTTCTCATAACAGCCCTCCTCTTTCAAGGAGGGCTCTCGGAGGAGGACCTCCAGAGGATCTCAAGGTCCAGGCAGGCTCATATGGAAGGAGACATTCCTCTAGAATTCCCAACACAGAAGTCAGCACTTCATTTTCTGTAGTGAGGCCAGCTGTGTACTCAATGTACATACTACAAGATGCTATTCCCTCTCTACTTCCCAACCCTGATACATAAACTCTTATATACGATGGTACCTGGCTGATCCATGTGCAGCAGGTACTCGCAATGGCTCAAAAGCAGCTCATAGCCCTACATGTTGCATGTATCCCTATGAATTGGGTGTTATAGAATTGTGATTTATGAATCAGATGGCAGACAAAAGCCTTATGAGCCCTTCCCTCTTGAGAAGCCCTCCAAGCCCCCTCACCTGCTCAGTATGAATCCTTAAAGGGCTGGTCCCCCAGCCCCAAGGTGAGCACCCCCATCTGTGTCGCCCCCTCCCTTGCACATTCCCTCACGGCTGACTGCTGGGCAACTGTGGTGTGGCAAGAGCTCCGGACTTCTCAGGCTCAGCCAAAGGTGCCTGCAAGCGTCCGGGCTACCAGCCTCAGATTCAGGAACCCAGTCTGGTTCCTCAAGAGTGGGCACAGCAGCCCCCAATTCAGATGGCTCAGCCAGTTCTGAGACTGAGCTTTAGGCACATGCAGCATAAAATCAGTCTTAAAGTTATGTCAGCATAAGGGCTAGAGCAGCAAAAAAAATCCCTCTATATGCTCTTTCAAATGTGACCACATTTTATACTTCCGTTTGCAAGACACTCAAGTTTAGAAGGCATTTTTGTTTAGCATCTATTTTTCATAACATTTGATCAACAAGGGAGACATGTGGTGATCATCTAACTTCTAAGCGTTTCTTGCCAAAGACAGAAAGGAGCAGTAAAGGAGATCACTCTTTGAAGGACCTTTCCTTCCCTTGCATAATTTTAATACAGAGACCTAACTCCTAAGGGCAGCAGAGACATGTCTGAGCCAGATGCATGCTAACACCAAAGTATGCTATTTCACCTGGTGCTGCTTCAATAAACATGATTTCACAGAGGTTCCAGATCAATTCCATCGCAGATAAAATGGAGACCTGGGAAAAACAGACAGGAAGGTAACAAGGACACTCCTTCAAATGTTTTGAGCCTAGAGATATGATAGCAGGAGTATTACTATTCACATAGGCTAAAACCATTCAAATGAGTTTTGCTGGGAACAAGATGCTACTCAAATAGAGTCTGGGTATCTCATACTGTATTTGGGCAGAGCAAGAATCAAAGGATAAGTACTTGTACACTCTATGACCAGGGATCCACGTATGTATTCACCGACTCTGGTGCTTGCCCTCCTCCCTATTCTGGGCAGAGTTGATCTAAGTGCCTCTGAACTCATAATATTAGACTCTTGACTATCTCAGGGAAGAGATGAGATCAGCTGTGAGAACTGGTGGGAAAGCATTCTGTGCATGGGACTTGGAGTGAGAATATGGCAACTGGAGAAATAGCTAAGCAATCCCCACCTCCTTCCAAATCCCCACCTCCTTCTCAAGTTTCTTTTTCTTAGGGAAATTATTTTTCTTATACTGCTTTATAGTTAAGCCTTCGGTGCTCAGAATTCTTCCGCAAGTACCATTTAATTCCTTCTACATAGATAATATGCCTACTACAATAATCCCTGGCTAATATTCCAACAAGATCCAAAGTGCTAATTCATCAGAATGTATCAAGGATGGAAAAGTCTATGGAAGATGCTAGCAGAAGATTTTTCCTAAGTGTGACGACAAAAATATTTCAGTTACCTGAGTACTGTGGTACACGTGCATTACTGGGTCCTGTGCAGAAGCTAACAAGAGAAAAATGTATCAGTCAGGTTTTTCTCCTTTTTCCAAAATGAATGATGCACAGGACCATATTTATTCCAGACTTTTAAATGCCTGTCAGTTCTATTCCATTATTTTATTCCATACCGTAGAGAGATCTTTACAACATTCTGTGTGCTTAAATGTCACCTTTATTAGCTGCATTCTAAAAGCAGCTGTCCTACTCCTATGCTTGGACTGCCATTACTACAACCATCTGAAGCTCAGTGAACTACTTAGCTGAGCAATATTGGAATCAGATCTTACTTCGAGAGATGTACAGACTGACTTGATCTTACAAAGCCGTGTGTGTGGATGCCATTTCAAGTTCAAGAGCCAGATAGATTACCTTTATAATTACCTGCTATGACTCATGCCCCGTGGGTTTCACATTCATAGTGCAGAACAACTTACTAGCCATCTGATGTGAATCTTCCATGCAGGCTCTTATGACCGAGCGGTAGCTTTTGCTCACTCGAACCAATCTGCCAAATGCGGAAGGGCCCGATTAGAATGTGTTTTTTAGGAAAAACTGTTATGAAAAGTCCCTTGCCAAACACCATGTGCTTCAACAAAGGTATGATGCAATCTTACTCTAAACCAGCACGAGTTGCAAAGTGCTACACAGGTGTTTCTGTCCTCCTTTTTGTCAGCAAGTGAATGCACATTAACTGAAAACAGAAGGCATTACAGAAGAATAAGGCAAAGATCTAGAGAAAAAAAGCTGATTAATATGCTGAGGCTGCAATTCGGTGTGCACAGCCACCTAGAAGCAAGCCTCAGTGAACACTGCAGGAATTAAACCTAAGCAAACATGTACAGGATGGGGCTGCAAATTAAAGAACCCCAGTTGCTACAGACCTCATGCCCTATTTGGATGGTCTCACAGCAAGAAGATCCTTAGATCACTTACTGTGCAGTCCTTGACTTTCCAACCTTCTCTTTCTCATCCTTCTGGAGTCCAACAAAGATCCCATGTGATTCATTGAAAAGCTTCCGCAAAGTGTGAGAGTAGATGTCATGATCTTTGCGAACAACGTAGACATAAGGACAGTTCAGCCTTTTCTCTTCAGACTCTGAAACAAACCACATAGAAGTTCTAACTAAAAATACACTATTAATCCACAACGAGAATAATGCACAGGTCAGCCTTATGGCATAGCAGGACCTGTTAGGAATTTAGACCTTATTTTGGACCATACCAAAAGAGCCAAAATGCAGGAGAAGTGCCACCATTCATTCTTTGAAAACTTAAAATATAAACTAACAATTCTAAATAGTAACTCCAACCTTAATATTATGACTTGGAAATAAAGATACTGTTATTAAACTTATTCCAGAAGTTGAGATGTTTATCTTTTAATAAATGCACCTGTCCAAATAATGTACACAAAACATCACAGTTTCACACAAGATGTGACCGAGTGGCTGAATGGAGGAACAGGCACCCTCGGGCAAGGCTCCCCTCATAGTTTGCTTCCTCTATTAATTTATCATGGGACAAGGGGAAACCTGCATCTCTCTAGATATTGTGGGAGACAGTTTGAAAATGCCTGCCACAAACAGCTGAACTATTTATTACATTTGCATTCTAGGGATCCTTCAAAGGGATCATGAACTGTGTACATGGGATTTCCAGGTACTGATCAGGACCAGCTTACTTAGCTTCAGAGACAAAACTACTTCTGGTGCCTTTAAACCAGTAAGTAGAGCACTGTCTACAAATCCATAGAAGCCCTTCTATAAAACCCAATCTCTACATGTAAACAGAAAAACGAGGCTCAATAATATAGGACACTACCATTAAACAATATTCATCCTCAAAGCAAATTACAGTGTGTTTCATGATTTTAGGGGTTGGAATTCATTAATATTGTTGGCACTGAGAGTTGAAATCAGTTTCACAAGGACTTTAATCATATTAATATGCTAATGCCAAGAGCGGCAATATGTCTAGGTAACAATTTTACATCTAGACATATGGAGCAGCAGGTGCAGTGGAATGAAGTTCTTGCAAAAAAAAATGAAAAATGAAATAGATATGGCTGTAGTCATTACTGGCTTGGATCAATGTCCTCATTATGATCCCCAGCCCTCCAGAGCAAATTTGGAGACAGTGCTGGGTGACTACAGGGTAAAAGAAGCAGAAATCCCATTCTATCAGTCATCTATTCTGCAGTCACAATGAGAAAGTTGGAGCCAACTCCTAGTAAATAAGCATTATAAAATTAAAAAGACATCCCTGTAACGTTTTAACAACACAACAGAACAAACCCTTTATCTAGAAGTAGTCCTTTTCTCTCTCACCCTAATCTAAGTAATCTTTCCTCCTGAACTTATTCAAAGTGACTTTTCTAGTTACCTTGGAATGCCCCTGTCTATTGAAGTTACATCTTCAGCCGCACTAAAAACTGTGTCACCAAACAACTGGAGTGAACCAGTTGCTTGGAGAATCACTTCCTGGTTAAAACTGATCAAAAAAGCAGTTTACATCTCCTGCGTGCAGAGGGCTGAGAACTGCCCATGCAATGGAATGGAGAAATCCAAAGTTGATATGATTGCACACCAGCATGTTCATCCTCTCCACTAGGCAAATGCTAGCAGCTCTTTTTGACTTATGAAATGTGAACATTTTGTCTTTGCATTTTTCAACTCACTGACCTGCTAGTGCAGATCCCAGGGTAAATTTAGCTCATTATTCATAAAGCACAGGTTGAAAAGGGCTCTGGCTAGGGAAAAAATGCTTCCCAACAGCCCTGCAGTGTATGTTCCTGATGAATACTGAAGGGTAGGGGTCAGGTGGAGAGACTGGTTTACAGTGATCCTGCAGTCTTTTCTAGGTTTTCTCTCTCTGTGAAAGAGGGGGAAATAGGAAGACAGCTGGAAAGGAGTGAGGAAGAGAGAGAGAGAAGGCACATAAAATTGCTACCATGAAAGCAAAAGGAAATCCAGTGGGAGTAGGATGTGTAAGCATACTGCAAAATTAAGGCACAGCACTTCAGTGTAGCAAAGCTTTTCAGCTACCATTTAAGAAAACATATCAGTAAAAAGTATCTGTGCAAAGCTGTGCTTAGAAACATAAAAACTGGAGCTTTGAAAGGATCACCACCACATATTGCAAAATCAGACTTTCGTGGTGTGTTCTATGCATGTTTATTCAGATAGAGGTTGGGTTAGAGGACCTATTGTTCTTAATGGGAGGCTTACTCCCTAGATAGTGTGCTTATTAGTAGCTCTATTATATATTATATTACTAGGTTGCTTAGGACTGCAGTCTTGGGGATTTTAGCCTTCAGGTAATGCCGGGCTGAAAGTGGAATAATGTACAAGCTGGTATTCATTTTGGTTCTGTGTCTGGATGAGCAAGTGTTTTAGCAAGTAGTTCTGCAGCAAAGCACTTGGCCACTCTATCTGCAGCACATCGCTGCAGTTCCTATTTTATATTTATCAGACTTGTTTTAGATTAGAGAAGAGATGACAATGAGGGAAATTGCTTAGAAGGAAGGATGATACCAAAGAAGGCCTGCTAAAATGCTCTTGCCCAAGGACCAGGTAAAGTCTGCCTAAATAAGCTAGGGTATTACACCACTTTGTTTTGGTCTCATCCAAGAATTCATTTTTTAAAAAAACACATGCATATTAATATCAGAAGTTGCCAACCTGCTGATCCAAACAATGTTTCACACACCAGCATCTCACCAGGTCCCCAGTCAAAACATAATTGTCTGTTAGCAGAGTCCACTCCAGGAATAAGCTGTTTTTTAAATAAAAAACAGAGAGTAAGTTAGACAAGTATGGAGATGTTACTTATATCATAAGACTTCAATCTTTCACAAACTATAATTTTAAAGGGCTAAATACATCTGGAAAGACAGATTCTGGCAGCAGCAAAATCTGAAATGAATTAAGAGAGTAACCCTTTTCAGAAAAACACCTCATGTGACCAATGCTGAGTGGTGTTCTGCCAAACAGACCCATCCATTCTGCTGGGCACACTGGTTTCTCCTGCCCCTTGGCATCCACACATATCCCCCAAACATCTGCAGATAGGAAGCCTTTGCCTGTACAGCTGTATACAAGAACACTGCCTCTATGCAGACATTTGCACAGTACATGTAGGTAGAGGGAAACAGGGAAGTGTGCATAAAGCTAGTTAATGTATACCCACTCATGTATCAATTGACTACAAGCATCACTTGTGAACGCAAATATACAGTGTTCCTCTATCTCAGCATTACTTCATTCCCCGGTGTGTGCCATCTCCCACTATCTGCCAAACAACCCTATTTCTTCTGAAGTCATTATCATATCTCTTGCAAAGCACTGTCCTCACATATATCCATAGCTTAAGAGTTACTACCCGCATTATAATGGACTTTGTATGTTAGCCTATCAGTGAAGTTTTGCCTTCTGTTTGTTCAGTAGTTCACTCAAAACTTAGCACCAGCTTGTTTTTGCTTCCTGCTTCTGTTATTTTTTTTAGAACAAGAAAAAATGCTTTAGTATTAAGTTTTGTGAGAACTGATAGCATTGTACCTAGGAATTATGTAAAACTATGATTCTAATACAGTTTCCCTAGTAAAAGTTCAAGCATTGCATTTTACGACTGAAACAAACTACAGAAAAGCTCAGCACTGCATCCATTCCCATCCAAAGGAAGAGTGCTGTGTGACTTAAAATCCTGCATATCACACCACCCTGTAGACTGCAGAAGTTACGGACTTTAGCCTCTCCCATCAAGAAAATGACCAAGGGCCACTGCAAGGTTGGAGACCGAGTTTAGGAGGGAGGAGGAAAAGACCAGTCTGGCTCCACTCATCAGCCAGAAAAGCAACAGCTGCAAGGAGGTTGCTGACCTATACCCTGCCAAAGAGAACAATCAGCTGCAACTGCCAGTTACCCTGGGACTGAGTCTCTGGTGTGTTTGGGGAAGTTCCTTAGAAATTGCCTTGGTGCTAACCAGATGTAAATTTAGGGTATCACTCTTCCAAATTAACCAAATAAATATGGATTGAACACATGTTACTAAGGGTCTGAGCAGGACTAAAGTGATCCAGTTTCAAATCAGGACTAAAGTGATCCAGTTTCGAATCCCTGTTCATACACTCTCTCAGCCTAACCGACTTCACAGAATTCCTCTATGGATAAAATGGGAGTGGGGCAGAATCAGCTGCCTGGAATTCTATCCAACGTTAATCTAATTTCTCTTATTCTTCTCAGTGTCTCCTTCCAGGACTCCCATTGGATATATCCCATGAACTCCTCAGAAGAAAGGTAAGACATAGGTCCTATTATGCCATTTCTTCTGATAAGTGACTGAACTCCCTAATCCAACTTCGTAGTGGATTCTCTTTTCAATTTAAAATAATCTACTGAGAATTCTTTAAGTTAAAAAGCAAAACAAAGCCTAGAATTCTGCCGGGTGGAGCTCTCCCCCTGCCCACTGAGTTCCAGATATTTTTGAACTACATTCCCAGCATTTGTGACCGTTGGCTTTCCGAGCCGAGGCCGATGGGCGTTGTAGTCCAAACCCTCTGGAGGGCACCAGGTCGGGGAGAACAGCGCGAACTCCCGCCCACCGCAGCCCTCTTCCAGCGGTCCTTTCCGCTGCACCACCCAGAACCATTCGGAAGAGAAGAACACGAAAACCCACAGTGACCGACGGCTCCACATCTAGCTCCTCCATCTCGCCGAGCCACGGCTCCGACAGCTCGTGCTCGCTCGCTCCGTTTTCACCTTCCTCGCGCCCGCGCTGCGCCCGGGATTGCCCAGCCAATAGCCGAGCCTCACGCGGAACCGCGCGCACGCCAGCGGAAGGGCCCCCTTTCCTTCTCTAGAGATAAGAAATAGTAGAACAGCTAGCTCGCTGCGATCCGGAGATGGCGTTTCCTGGTTCCTTTATTTATTTATTAATTATATTTATATCCCTCCTTCTTTCCTTTGAAGGAACTCAAGGTGGCTTCCATAACGACAACAACTCCGTGAGGTAGGGCTAAGAGTCTGTGACTGCCTAATTACCCAGTTAGCTCCATGGCTGAGTGGTGAGGGAAGAAATTCTGAGGCTGAAATGGAAGCTAAGGTCATCCCAGCAACCTAATCTAGCATTATTAAGGGTTAATGGTGTGTGTGGAGGAGAGGGACGGAGGGACGGACAGTGGTTTAGATTATCTTCCAAACTTATCTCCTTCATCAGGTTGCAGCAAATGTGACTGCCTAAATCAAAACTGCAGATCGTGTGGCCCCCCCAACTAAAACTCCGATCATCCTTAGCTATTAGCTATGTTGATTGGGACTGAAGAGAGTTTTAAGTTTCGTAATGTCTGAAGGGATACAGCTTTCTCTCCCCCACACCTAGAATCAATATCCAATATTCTGTTGCACGCGGAAGTCTTGTGCACCATCCACTTTCATGCACGTGTCTCGTTCTTTTAAATGAGGCATGGGCAACGCGTGGCCTTCGGACGTTGCAGGACTGCAACTTCCATTAGCTCTAGCCAGAACATTACAGTCCAACAACATCTGGAAGGCCATCGACTGATTAAGCTCTAGACCCCTATACACAACAACGAAAGCCCTAACTCACATTTTTCATACATAGGAACTCAGGGAGAGCCCGAACTCCTATCTGTCCTGCTCACATATTTTTGGTTTGGGTAGGGGGTACTCTGTCTAATCACAGCTACGCTACATTCTGAATTTCTCCATCGTTTCCTATGAGGCTTTTACTTTCATCTGTAAGGAAGAGGAACCCGCTCATCTGAGTACGTGTGTGACTCTAGCTATAAAGCTGTGTTCCGCCTCCCGAATCGACGCAGTCCCTTCCCCGCCTCTACAGCTCTCCTCCAAAGCGCCTGCAAGATTTGCGAAGTTTCCCCAGAGCCTTTGCATCAATTCCTGCGGCCCGTGCGCAGCCCGTCTTCCATAGGAAGAGGATGGGGATAGTCTGTGGGGCTCTGGTGCGGGCGTTGTTTTGGCCCAGAGGCAGCAGTATGCTACTGGGTACCAAAGTGGCTTGCCAATGCTAAATTAGCCTGCGATGAGCTAGAGAAGGAAGATTCATGGGGGCATAAATAACTCCCCGCATATCCCAGCCGTGTCTAGGATTACGGTTGACGCTGTAGCGCTGGGGGTAGATCCGTCTGACCGGTTGCAGCTATTCCGGCTTTTTTTGAAGATCGCCGATTAGAAGGGTAGCTGCAGAAGAGATTCCATAACAAAGAGATGCCTTCTGGACTGATGTTAAAAGGCTGCCAAATTTCCAGTTTGGCTTATTTTGGGTTAAAAATTAAGACAAGGAGTCCAAAACGTTTTAGACTTGAATACGTATCTTTTTTTCTGGAGGGTGGCTTTATTAGTCTCATGAAATAAAAACAACTGTCTTGTGACCTCTTAAAGACTAGCCCATTTATTCTGGAATTAGTTTTTGCAGACAACAGTTTGCTTATATTGCATTTGTGGACTATAGTCCTCAGATATTTATGCCAGAATAAATGGGTTAGTCTTTAAAGAGCCCCAAGACTCTTGGTTAAAATTGTGTGTGTTCTCTTGTTTACCCCAGAGTTTCGTTTCTTCTCTGCCTCAGGTGGACAGACAGCTTTTTCACTGGACTGCAGACTCACCAGAAACCACTGGATTCTTGTGCCTAAATGGCTAGGTTTTGCTTCCCAGGCTTCAGCTCCACTTTAGCTTCTGCCGGTCTCCAGTGCCTGAAGGAGAAACTGTCCTAGCTAATCCACAGGGTTGGGGGTTGTAAATTTAAATTCACAAACATGCAGGGGGGTGTATAGATTTCCTTGGGTTGTCTGTAGACTCTTACTACTAATGCCATTCAGGAGCTGGGGGTTTTGCATGGCTGTTTTAATGGTATTATATTGGCTCATGTTTAGGCAGTGATCCTCTAGTCTCCAGGCAGAAAAGCAAGAGAAGAGTGAGAAAAGCACAGCTGCATGTTCCAGAGATTGTACAAGAAGGGCCTGGAAGCAACTGAAGTATGGAGAAAGATGAGGATGGATATCAATCTGGCATTTTTTCAATCTGGAAAGCTTTGATATATTTAGTTCATGGGCATGCATATGTAAATATAGACATTATCTGTTTCACAAACCTCCAAAGAATCTCATTAGTGTGTTATTAAACCACTTGTTTTAAACTTTTAAAAGTGTGTGTGTATTTAGGAGCCTGATTCAGTTCAGGTTCAAGGCTATCAAAAGATTTTAGTTTCAGAGACAATTAAAAAAAAAACCCAGTGCTTGAATTTCAGATCTCATTTGGCACATTGCTTCCAGAAGGTGAATTCAGGTAAACACTGCAACTCTAGAATACCTCATCACTTGGAGAAGTGTGCAATTCTGGTGTCAGGGGATGGGTCGTGTTTCCTTGGAGAGGAACTGTCAGCTGGAAGAGGTGTAACAGCAATGCATCTAGTCCAGGTAATGTTCCAACAGAAAAGGCTGGCATTGTAGCAGGCCAACCAGCAGTTTTATGAAGACCTTGGAACAAAGGGGCAAAGCTTCGGGCCTGCTGGATTCCTCAATGCAGACTGCAGAGCTGCCCACAGTTCCACTGGTGGGCAAGACCAAGCAGATCTGATACTGGAAAGAGCAGTAGGGATGGGGACAGCAGGGAACCTGCTCAACCTGGGAAAAGCAGCCTGGATGGCATAACTTCACTTGGTACAGAGCATTCAAGCTGGGAATGCTGAATGCTCAGTGAGCCCAGGGATTTGGCGGGTGCCAAGGAAAGCCTCTGCACCTCCGGGGGCAGCTGAGCCCCTTTCTTCATGTGGGGAGGAGAGAGAGAACTACATGGCTTCTCTGGTGCAGGGAGGTGTGTGGGAGGACAATGCATCAGGGGAAGGGCCATGCTGACCAATATCATCCGATCCACAGTGGGCCTGTTGGGGGTCAGGCCAGTCCTGGTGCTCACCTCAGAAGGGTTCTGTAATCCTGCCACAGAATCTTGTTGTTCTTCTTGTTAGTCGCGAAGTTGTGTCCAACCCATCGTGACCCCATGGACCACATTCCTCCAGGCCTTCCTGTCCACCATCCCCCGGAGTCCACCCAAGCTCACACCAACTGCTTCAGTGACTCCATCTAACCACCTCATTCTCTGCCATCCCCTCCTTCTTTTGCCATCTATTGTTCCCAGCATTAGACTCTTCTCCAGGGAATCCTTCCTTCTCATTAGGTGGCCAAAGTAGTTGAGTTTCATCTTCAGGATCTGGCCTTCTAAAGAGCAGCCAGGGTTGACCTCCTCTAGGACTGACCAGTTTGATCACCTTACGGTCCAAGGGACTCGCAGGAGTTTCCTCCAGCACCACAATTCAAAGGCCTCATTCCTTCGGCGCTCAGCCTTCCTTATGGTCCAGCTTTCACAGCCATACATTACAACTGAGAAAACCATAACCTTGACTATACACACTTTTGTTGGCAGGGTAATGTCTCTGCTTTTTACTATGCTGTCTAGATTTGCCATAGCGTAGTGAAGGCCATTGTGGAACTCTCCCAGGCAGGGCCATCCATGGGCCTGATGGGCGCTTGCCCATACTGATCTGTGAATGTTAACACTTGGAAAATGGGAAAACTTCCAAAATTAACAGTAGTTGTAGTTGTGGTAGGGTCCCCAGTACACTGCTTTGCCTGGCGCCCATAATGCTGTTAAGATGGCCCTGCTCCCAGGTTTGGCAGATGCAGACAGCAGTATCTCAAAGTGAGAAGGTGGGTGCCTTGCCGGAGAGGACATGGCAAGAGGCTGAGGCTGGCTCAGAAGGCCATTTGCAGCACTGTCTGAGGAGATCTGTGAAGCAGATGGGACTTAAGGAGCTTGCGCTGCAGAGATTTGCCATCAGTTGCTGAAGCGGGAGCCTGCCAACTGTGAGGAGGGCAAGGGAACCAGAGAAGCCTCAAGAATAGGAAACTGAGTAGACAAGACTGTGCATGAGTTGAAGTGGTGGAAAGAAAGTGCTATGGGGAACGATGGCATGCAGCAGAAGTAGGCATGATAGGACCCTACGGATGCTTTGACCTCTGCTTGGCTGAATTCCTAACCATGGGCCATGTTGGCTGAGATTTATGGGAGCTGTAGTCCAGAACTACTGGAGCACACCAAGTTGCCTACTCCTGACATAAAACCTAGAGGAAGAACCCTTGATAGGTTTCTTCACCACATGGAAGAAAATCAGCAAGGAAATCTGTGCTAGAAAAGTAGCCACTGCCAGGAAATGAGTGAGAATAAATAATCCCATAAAAACTACTTTGTTCCATGGCTTCCCCATGAAGGCTTTAGTGGATGGGATGAAGCCCCTCCTGTTGATGCACCCCAGAAGTAAGCCCCAGTGGGCATAAGATAGAGTTACTGGAGTAACAGAGATTGGGAACTTTGCTGTATACAAGTGTCGGGCAACATGGACAGAGAGGGGAAAATGCAGCTGCCAACCTGAGTGGGCTCACCCAGTTAGGCTTGAAGAAGGATCCTGCAGATGGAGACTTATGGCTTGACCCAGCTCTACATTTAGATCCAAGGGATGGTTCAGACTAGCCAGAATACCTTTTCCTTGAGGGGGGTGGGGGTATAAAGAGAAAGAAAAGGGGGCAGCTTGTCATAAAGAGACAACATGCCTGGATATTTTACTGGTCTTTTTGAAGACATACCTTGAAACCATGAGTGGAGTCACAGGAATCGCCCCACCTTTGGAGCTTCATGAAAACCAGGGCAAAAAATATGCTGAAAAACATGTGGCTTGGAATTTGTGGTTTTGGGGACTGCTTGTTAGTTTTTTAGGAACTGGTTATCATTTTTCAGAATTGTTCTGGCAGACTTTCTTAAGATTTTCTTGCAATGTAACATTGCAAAGAAATGTAGTTACTGAGATTGTGTAGGATGTGTTTCAGGCTGGCAAAGAAAAATGAATGATGACTGCTTAATTGTATCGCAGTAAAATAAACAGTTTATCCAGAACAGGAATTCTGACAGTAATAAACCTTGCTTTTTGCATTGCTTATATGAACATTTTAATAAAACCGCAAGGCAGGATTTCATATATAACAGAGGAATTTCTTAGAGGAACAGGGGAAGTAATTTTTCTAAAGGAAATGGCTATGTGTGCTTTAATGTCACTAATCATGTTTATTTATTTTTATTCTTTTAAAAACAACTCCAGGGAAACTTCTTATTAATTTTCTTCTGTCTGATCTGATGGGGCTCCCCTTGAAAACAGCCCAGGTACTTCAGCTGGTATAGAACAGAGCTGCCAGATTGCTGACGGGGACCAGTTGTTATTCTCATATAATGCCAGTCCTCTACCAGCTACATTGGCTTCCAGTTGAAGTCTGGGCCCAATTCAAGGTGCTGGTTTTAACCTTTAAAGCCCTGAACAGCTCAGGACCAGGATACCTGAAGGAATGTCTCTTCCCTTACATGCCCTCATGTCCCTTAAGATCTGCGGGAGAGGCTCTGCTCCAGGAGCCCTCTTTAAAGGAGATTAAAAAAAATCTACCCAGAGCAGGGCCTTCTCTGCGGTGGCACCAAGATTATGGAATGTGCTCTCTGGAGAGGTGCGCCTGGCACCAAGTTTATATTCTTTTCGGCGCCAGGTTAAAACCTTTTTATTTAATTGCTATTTTAAAAACTAATATTTTAACGTTAACAGTTGCTCTTTTTGGTTTTTGTTTTTATATAATCTTTTATGGAATTTGTTATTGTTTTTAATTGTATGTGTTGTGAGCTGTCCTGAGATGCCAAGGCATGTGGTGACAGCATACAAAAGTTTTAAATAAGTAAGTTTTTAAATAAATACATAAACAGTATTTTTAATGAAAGGATAAGGGTTGGACTAGATGACCTCCAAGGTTTCTTCCAACTTTATGATTGCAAGACTGCAATTAAGACAAAAGTTATACTACTACACTGGTCAAACTAGCTGGCCAGGTCTAGTCTTGCATATTCCTTTCTTAGGTAAATTGCAGGAAATATGTTGTCATGGAAACTAAATAATCTGATTTATCTAAGTAGCTGGCCTTCTGAATGGATAGCAAATATCCAAAAGAAGGATGTCTCTTTTCCCACATCCAGCTGGGAATGATGTAATTGAGGTATCTGTCCTTGAAGAGAACTTGCCCTTTTCAGGATGCACTTTGGAGTGAGAAACAGAAGGAGAGCTGAGATTCTGATTCTTAAAAGGGAAGTTGACTGCCAGTCTGGACATCAGGTGAGGGAACAACGGATTTTGGGTAACTGTTGGAATGTTAAGCAGTGCTTTCCATCGGTGCTTATCCTGAATATTTGGAGAAAGATGCCAAATATTATAAAGCACCAATAAACTTCCAAGAACCCCTTCCAAGGGGAATCAAACCCAGATAAGCACTGCGCTTTTTTAACCTCTCATCACTTTGAGGGAATTGATATCATTAATATCTGATTTTTGGCAAGCACTATGAAGCAGCTACTCTTCTCTTGATCATACTGATTAGAAAAGCAGAGTGATCTCAGAGACATATTTCCAGAGATTCTTGCTGCCTGCCTGCCTGCCTGCCTGCTTCCTTCCTTCTTCTGTCACACTATTTTTACCTTCCTTGCCAATTATTATCAGATGTAAAGGGGTTTATGGCATCCGTTTAAAAATAGGTTTGTGGTAGTTTGCTGAGCTGTTGTATCATGTGGTACAGCAAAGCTAATAAAATCACTATTAATTCACTAGTGATTTCCAATTGGCTTTAGAATAGTAAGCAACTGAGTGTTACTGATGATAGCAACATTGACCAGTGGCATAAAGATTATGGTTTATTACCAGCTCAGTGTAATTGGTGAGAAGGACATTGATGGGTAAGACTGGGAGTAGAAGGAAATAGAAACAAGAATGACTATCTAGCCTAGTGTCTGAATATTGACCGACCAAGCACTGAGGTCTCAAAAGCAATAGGTTTCAGAGCCAAATATATGTATACCTAACATCAGAAAGTTCCAAGTGGTGAATGTTTTGCTGGTGATTCCATTGGCTTATGCACACATACATATTTATCACTGGGTGCCTTGTGTCAACACTACCAACAAATGCAGAGCAGTGCAGGCTCATTTTATTGCTGCTCATGGGGATGGTCTGTAGCCCAGTGGTAAAGCACAGGTTTTGCATGCTGAAGGCCCCGGGTTCAATATCCAACCACT